CCTGTTAATTTGAACATAGGATGTAACAAATATTTTGATATTTCAGGATGTATAAATGCATTTATATAACTAAATATCCACATAACAATATGCACAAAATTTGAGCATATACATACGGGATGTGGGGCACTCAGGGCTCCCCAGCCCACAGTTGGCCACTCCAACACCAAGACACAACTGACAGAATGGTACCAGCACTTCGAAACCCAACCCCCAACACATGGCTCACCAAAGCTGTGTGCTCCATGTACAGATATATTACATACCCACACGTGCTCCATGCTCACATCCTGCACATCCCCTCGGCCGAGCGTCCTCACTCACCACGCTGCTGAGTTTCACCTTTTTCCACTCAAATTCCGGATCCCATTAGCAGCAGCAGCAGCCCCCAGACCCCTGCCCTTCAATGTCAGCACAGAGGGTGGGTGCAGAGCCCTACAAGGGCTGGGATCTCTCCATAGGGCAGCACCCAGCCTTTGGGTGCTCACTGCTTCTCCTCCTCACCCGCTTTTATAGCAGCCTGATGGCTCCCATTGGCTCCAGGCACAGTTATTATAGTGACTGCTATGACCCATTTAAATGGTGTTAAATAATTTCTCAGTTCGTTGTCCTGTGGAGAGTAGTTACACACAGGCACATTTTAATGATTAACTCCTGGGCTGTGCTGAGGCACCAGCAAAGAGCTCAGCACTCATGACTGCCCTCCCTGCACCCGCTGCCACCAGGGCTCTGCATTTCCTATTGCTCCCCATGGGTGCCACCAGCTCAATTCTCCTTACAGGGAGCACTCCAGCTCCCAGTGCCACAGAGAAAGGTGGGGAAAGGGGATGGGAAAAGCCCTAAAAGCAGAAAACAAGCAGGAAGATGCTTCAGCAGTGGGATATTTTGGGGCTGGGTTGGTCTATGGAGCCACTCTGGGCTCTTCAAAGCCACAGCCACAGAACACAGGGTGGGGTGTTGGGATTGGCTTGGTCTGCGGGTCCCCCAGTGTCACTGTGTGTGGGACGGGGCCCACAGGTGTTTGTGTTGGCAGCAGGAAGGGACAGATTGATAGGAGGAAGCGGTTGAAATCCCTTTGGGTTTCTATGCTTCCTTCTCCTTTCCTTCACCTCCACTGCTTTGTGCCAAAGGGGCTTTAATAGCTGCGTTCCACTGAGGTTTCTAAGGAAATCGGTGAACAATGCAAATGGGGAAAAAGAACCTTTTTGGATGAATTTGAATGGAACAAACAAACAAACACACAAACCACAAAAACAACCACCATGCCTTACAAGGAGAGGAGCCGACTGATGTTCCCTGCCAGTCTGGACCCCCCGGGTTACATGCAGGCAAATCCAATATTCGGGGCTGCTCCCAGCCCAGACCCCCCAGCACAGGCTGATCAATGCCTGGGGACAGCAAAGGGTCACCTTTTGTTTGAGGACAGCACTGCATGGCTCCGGACAAAACTTTGGGAGAAAACTGACCAAGCTGAGGGAACAGCACCCGAGCTGAGCTTTAATTCTCTCTCTTTTAAGAAGAAAAAGCCCAGACCAACTGAGGACCAACACACCACCCACTGCTGTCCCCAGGGTCTGGTAGTGGAGGAAGGTTTTGGCCCCAGGACCCCTCCATCAGCAGATGGTTTGGGTGTTGTTTTGTGTTTTTTTAATAAATGAATAATGAATTTTTTTGCCTGGCCCTATAGAGAAGCACCAGCTTTTCTTCAGCAGCTCTGTGGGGCTCACACCATGCAGTGGGAAGTGGGGGGAAGACTGCCCTTACAGGAGGGTAAAGCATGGGATTCGCAGCAGAGCAGCAGCAGTGCCATCAGTACACTGCCCAGCTGGGAGCAGCCTCATCCTCTGCTCAAGGAAGAGCAAAAATCCCAAATAAAAGCAGACTGCCTGCCCCATCCTCCCTTCAGATGCTCTCTCACCCCATTGGGCTGGTTTATTTTAACCACCTTCAAACATCACTGGCATCTCTGCTACCCAATAGGTGACTTTTCAAAAACACAAGCTAATAAAACAAAGACCATCAATGCACAAAGAAATTAATTTAAGCTCCACGCACTGGGACACTCACTCATGGCACGTAAAGGTCCTCAGGATTTAATAAATGTTTCCTAAGCGTTCTCTCCGTTTTAGTTGTGCCTTGGCCAAGGCTCGGATTTTTCAGCGTAAGCATTTCTTCTTGCTCAATAAAACCCTTGCAGTGGGATCACTCACTGTGGGAACACAAAATATTTTCTCCGTCAGCGCCTGCGGTGGTTCCAGCCCTGACCCAGCTGGATAAATCCCAATTGTGCCCCGATCTCTACAGGGCTCATACTGGGAGACCTCCTCAGGGCAGGAGCAGAGCATCGCTTGTGCTCTGTAAGGGTGTGTTGGGCCTCTCAGAGAACTCCCTGGGCCCCTCCAGGGTGTGGGGGTTGGATGGATCCAAGCTGCTGCTGAAAGATTTTGATGAGCTGTAGCATCCCACAGACAGGCAGCTCCCTGCCTGCCTTGACCCCAAATCCCTTCCCAAAGGGATCCAGGGAAGGACAAGAGAGCTGTGAAGGGTATGGAACATGATGAGGGGAGGCTGAGGGACCTGGGATGGTTCAGTCTGGAGAAAAGGAGGCCTGGGGAGACTTCACTGCTCTCTACAATGCTCTGAAAGGAGGTTGTGGCAAGATGGGGGTTGGCCTCTGCTCCCAACAGCAATAGGACAAGAGGGGATGGTCAGTTGTGCCAGGGGAGGTTCAGGTCAAATATGAGGAAGAACTTCTCAAGGAGTGGTAAATTGTTGGTACAGCAGCCCAGGGAGTGGGGGAGTCCCCACCCCTGGAGGTGTTCCAGAACCATGGAGATGTGGCACTGAAGGATGTGGTCAATGGCCATGGTAGGGTGGGACTTAGTCAGTGATTTTTCCAACCTTAACAACTGTGTGATTCTATGAACTCAGTCCCTGACGGTTTTGGGATGCACCACTTTTGTCTCCTATTGGCTCTGTGAGCTGTGGGCTCTGGGCAGGTTCCTAAAAGAGCAGAGGGAACAAGTCAGTGTTAGAGTGGGGTGCCCATTCTCTCTCCCAGTCCCTGGAGCTCTGCCCTGCTCTCTCCATGTGCCCCTTCCCCCATATCCCCAGCATCACCTCAACCACAGCACACACCTGGGGACCCAAGCTGGGCCCTGTGCTCCCTGTGTGTAGGTCGATGCTCAGGTGGATCAGTGACATTGAGGTCAAGCAGAGCAATGTCCGTGTCTGCCAGTCTGGGATCTGTGACATTCAGGTTCCCCGCACCAACATGACCCTGTTACTGCCACTAAACAAATTTAACTGCTCTTTCCCTGCTGAAGGGGGCACGGGCAGGGCTGGGCAGCCCCATACTCAGACTTGATTCTGTGCCCAAACCAAGAGCACAGATGTTCTCATTAGAAAATAATCTCATCACACAGTTCAGCTCCATGTTATCTCAGAGACAAGGGACGTGCAGCGTACACAGGACATGCCTTTATGGTAGGGTAATTCTCAGAAACGTGAGGCTGTGAAGTCTGGCACTGCTCTGTTTGTGAAGTCCGTAACTCGGCTGCCTGTAAGGAGAGAGCACCTCAGATACACGAGCACATGGCCACTCTGGGATGGCTGAGGGAAGGGCACTGCCTTGAGGTTGGTGCAAGAGATTTGCTCGTCTATCAGGATGTACAAAAACCACAACAGAACAGGGCTGCCACATCACCAACAGAGAAGGCTTCCAGGCCTTGAGTTTATAAAAAGAGAAACCAAGGCAGATGAAAATCCATGTACTTTGCAGGATCAAAGTAGGAGGATTCTGACAGCTTTCTCCCTTTCTCCTGGAGAAGCGCACGGAGCAGAGCACTGCTGCACCCAGAGCTGTCCATCAGCCAACACTCAAATGAATACAGAACAAACATGTGGAACACACAAGAAACGAGCAGTCTGAAAAAGAACATGTGCTTCAATATTCAGAAAATAGAGCGCAATCTGTACTTCTGTTCCCAAAATTACCAACTGAACTGCTAAGTCTACTTACATTTTCACGTACACTTGACACATCACTGCGCTGCTCTTTCCACACTGTCATGCCTCCGAGAGAACTAACAGATCACACTGATGGCGTTGGGAAACTCATTAGTTATGAAAACAGAAAGCAGCCCTGGAAGACAGGCAGATCTTGTAAGTAATATATAGGACAGTGGAAAACTGGAATCACATAAACAAGAGGACATTTGCTTTCCATTAACCATTTCTGAGTCTGGGGATTCCAAAGAAAGCATCTGAGAATGAGAACCACATCATGAGAACCATTCAGAGAGAAAAAGCAATTCTTCACCTGTACAATCAGCAGTTTCCAAGATGGAATATCCTTATTAATAGATCCGTCGAAACATTCTTGCTGGCTAAAGATACTTTCAATCTGGTCCCAATTGCTTCTCCTAAGTTTAGAAAATGCTTCGACGACTTAATTTGAGAAAGAGTGCAGATAAAAATGTAAACACTTGCAGCCCAAGGCCATGGAGCATCAAACGTTAATGATAGCTAAAAGTAAAAATGCTGATTTTAAATTTAATTTCACATAATTCTGTGATACGGTCTATTCATCTCTTTTGGTTCATTTGCACATTTAGGGAGAAAATACAGACATCAATTTATCACAATGAAGTACTGTGGTCTTTTCCCCCTAGTACTGCACTTAACATTCCCAGTCGAAGCGTACCATCAGGCTCCAGTCTTGGGAAGCCTTTAATGTAAGATAAATCACACTTAGGAGGCAATACAGATATTTTCCAATACCTTCCTTTCCTCTCCAAACATCAAGGCAGCTTAAAATACCAAGGAAATGCGTGTCAAAAATCCTGCAAACAGCAGAAGGTATCAATCCCCTTCCTTAAGGCTTAAAGAGGGTAAATTCCTCACTTAGGATCACCAAATAAAACCATGACAGAAGTGGGTGTAAAAGGCAGATAATGTGATTCAAGCTCTTGGATCTTCAGGCCAAAAAAATCCCAGGATGTGCTTCAAACTTTGTTTCTTTTTCCAGTTCATTGTAACAATCACAGAAGAATGGTCTGAGGTACAAAACCAGCACTGGGTGCAACTCATGACTGTGCATATCTACAAAAGGTTTCTTATAATCATCAATGATTTCAATGTTTAATACTTGTTCCTGAAATCTTTAATCAGACAAAGCTCAGTACACAGAAAATCCTCCTCAGACACGACTGATTTTCATTCTTACAAACCAGATTAGGACTTCAGTGTTGACTCATTCATTTATTCCATGATCAAAGCACGTGCACAGGATGGGACTTGCTTATACATAAATACTGGAACAAACACTCAAAAGGAAAATGCAGACCCCACTCTTAAATGTCCTTTTGTTTGTATTACTAAGAGCCTTAGCATTACAGTCCAGAGCCTCAGCTGCTGCAAAACTGGTCCAATCCAGCCATGCTGAGGGCAATGCATTCATTTAGCTGATCATCTGCATCTACCACTCATCTGCAGATTGTCCAACATCCCTGAGAACAGCTATCCAACCTACAGATCCTCTCACTCCATGATGCCATCAGCCTACTTTGTGTGTTCCAGACACCAAGCAGTTTCTGTATGTTACTCCACACACAGATCTCTGACAGCAGCCCTACTCCCTAACGGCTCCAAAAGCTGGCTTTGGATTGTAAATCACATTCTGAAAAGCAGTTGGGCAATTCAACATCATCTGAAAGCAATTACAATTATAGTACTGCTGTGATAATTAAAACATTGCCAGCTGTATATTAGCCTACTCAAATGTACAGCTGTTACACGGGTAATGTAAAAAATACAAAAGCTTCCCATTTTGTGCCCTGTAATTTGTCTGCTACATTACAAAGTCAGTCACTATCACCCCTGTACAAGACAATATGCTGGAACAACAGTCTCCTCTTCCATGCCTTCTGGTAAACAACAGGTTCCCTCATCACCTCTGAGTAATAGAAACATTTAATAGATTCTACAACGATGCCCAATACAAGCTGAAACTGGTATCAAGTAGAAACAGGAAACGATTAACCAATTCTCTGCTGAAATTGCTGCTGGCTTTGGTCTAGATGCCTCCTGCTATTGGCCACCTCTGCCTTCAGTTTCCATCGCTGAGTCCCTCTGCTGTTCTTCTGGATCCCCTGGAAGAATGCTGGCGACTGTCTGGAGAAGCGACTCGATCTGCTCCTCTGTCAGCCTTTCCTCGCTTTCTTCTACCATCTGCAGGCCAAAAACAATCCACTGGAGTCATTAAACCCATACTTCTGCCCTCAGCTCCCAACCAAAGGACTAAACTAATTGGGAAACACTATTTTCAATGGATGAAAGACATTGTAGAATGCTTTTGTAATGAGCTCCAACAAAGTGGAACTCTTGGAATTTTCAGAAGAATGAAGAGCTCCACTGTTAACCAGGACAAGCACTCCATAATGAGACCCTGCTTTCTCCAAAACAAGGAAAGCAGCACACTCAACACAACCTTCGCTCTCCATTTTCTCCTTAAACCTTTCCCAACCCATTCATCTCTATTTTGACCCAGGCCTTTCATTAGCCTGTCTGCAGAGCTGCCTTCCAGACCTCATTTTCAAAGTTCCTGGGCAAAACCTTGTGCTCTTGTGATAAGTGAAATGAGATAACGTGAGACTGCTTACCTAAATCTGGGTATCTCATCCAGCACCTTGAAGGAAAGCAATCACACCACAACCTGGAGCAGCCACATGTTCTTAGAACTTACTTTGATTGTGAATTTCCGGAGTATGAAAACGTATAAAAGCTCTGAGCAACACAAAACGTGCTGTCATGAATCACCAATAAAATTCTATAAGATTAATTAGGGACCTACTCTCACTGTGGAGCTGCGGGAACTCTCATATCCCCGCTACCAGTAAAACAACTGCCCTAATTTATAGGCAGCTGCTAAAAGGAAAAGCTTGTCAGAGGACTGCAGGCATGAGCCAAATGAACTCTTCAAACGCAAATGAAACCAATTAGGACTGCGGGATTTGAGATTTGCTTCTTTTATGCAAAGTCCTTTAAAATGTCCTTTGAAGCGCGGTGATTTATATTAATTATGGTTCCGAGTCAATGTAGTTTAATCATTTCTAGCTGCAAATTATCAGCCATTCAGATGCATCTTGCCTTCTAAAAAAACCAGAGTGTATTCAACTACCTTCCCCCCTCCTCTCCATGTCCTGTGACGTGCCCTGTGAGTCCTCTCTGCACAATCGGGTCGTCTTTCAGCAGCCATTACCCACAGCCCCTTGATGAGAGGAAAGCAAGCAGGCTGCAATCCACTCATGTAGCAAAAGGCAGACAAATATCCATTTCCAGATGACTTTCTGGGAGCTGTGCTGATCAAAGGCTGAAATCCTCTATGGAGTGGCTTTCAAACCATGGTTAGCTCAGGAACTGTTGTAGGACCCTGGCTTGAAAAATAGCTTTGGCTCTCATTCCTGTCAGCTGTCACAGTATATATTACAAGTTAAGATATGCTAAGAACACTCCTAGCATTACCCTTCTGTGTAAGCAACTGTTGCAGCTATTGAAGTGGTACCAGATAATGGCCTTCAGGGCTGCTTCTCAGAGTTGATCATGTGGGCAGGTTAACTGGAATACCTTGGAGCATCAACACCACGCAACGAAATGCGTTGCAGTGCATAAATACAGTCTTTGTTCCCAATTCTGCTGACACAGCCATTACTCCCCAGATCTATGCTGCTCAGTTTTGTAAAGGGCTGTGAACCTGCTTTTTGGATAGGATTATTACTGTAGTGTTATTAATGACTGCTGCATTCAGCTTTGAAGGTGACAGCACCACAGCAGCAGGAACTGAACAAAGCTAACAAAGAAAAAGCCCACATCACAGAATCATTAAGGTTGGGAAGACCACTAAGATTCCCAACCCCAACCCACCCCCACCATACCTCCAACCAGGTCCCTCAGTGCCACATCTCCACAGCTCTTGAAAATCTCCATGGACATCTTTGAGACAGGTAAAATTGCCTAAGGCTGATTCAACTCTCAGGGCCAATGGCTCCTGCACTTGTTATTGCTTCCAGATCTTCAGAAAGCTGGCACCTCGCCTGGGTTAGATCTGACTTATTGGGTCATTTGAAGTCTGCCCCTCTTAAGCCCTATTTAAGCTTTATCCCTCCCTGGGTTATCTCCATTCCCTTTCTTTGCCATACACTTCTTACAGAATCAGAGAATCATCAAATCACTTCAGTTGGAAGGGACTCCTAAAGGCCATCTGGTCCCACTCCCTGCAGTGCACGCAGACACCCACAGCCCCATCGGTGCTCAAAGCCCCTCCAGCCTGACCATGAGTGTCTCCACAGGTGAGGCATCCACCACCTCTCCAGGCAGACATTTCCTGAACCTTTAGGTACTTAACAACTCAAGTTAAACACAAGGCCCTGGTCAGAACTTTAACAAATAACAGCGATTGCCAGACCAGCAGCAACCCTTCTCAACTTTGGCACTGATGACAAATCGTACTTACAAGTCTGATCGCTGTTTCTTACATGCTGCTGAGCGCTGAAGAGTAACCCCCCAACTCTTACTATGAACACCCACATCAGTGTCATTTGAACTGGCTGAACACAAGACTGCAGGACTCAGATGCTGCTCGGGACACTGACTGATGAGCTCTGGTGGCTGTGCTGGCAGCTTAAGAAATCACACCCTGGCAGAAAGTTGATGAAAAGATTAGCCTCCCGTGTTCCAAAATGCATTGGTGCTGTAACTGATGTCTCTGATTGAACTGCTCAAAAAAAAAACTCCTTCAAAATAAGGTGCTGGAGGTGATGCATCTCCAAATTCCCTTCTGTTGACAGATTTGTAGCATCTGTCAGAGGGAAGAGGTAATTCCTTCAGTTGCTGCAGCAAATTCACTGCAGGCTCATCTCTCGGTGCCTGAGCTCCGTGCATCCTTACTGCCAGCTCTTACACCAGCAACTACTGATAAAGGTCTGTGTTTTGGCAGGATGGACACAGTGCTGATATTTCAGAGCTATTTGGCTGTGATGCTACCCAAAAGTACAAAAGATCAAAAGCACCAGCTATAAAAATCAATTCTTCCAGAGAAACAGCATGAGAGTTAGGAAAACACAAGCAATAAACAAGCAGCAAAGCAGCATGCCAAAGAGAAAAACCCAAAAGTCAAGCACAGAGAGTGTGCAGACAAAGAGACAAATGAAACTGCTCTAAAGGAAACCAGAAATCACAGGGGAAGCAGAAGGTGACTCAGATTCAACAGATGTTTGCAGTGTTCACTGATTCGTAACCACGATACCTTTGCTACGGAAAGGACAAGGAAATAAGGTTATGATACTCAGAAGAGAAAACATGCACAAGGGAAAGCAGAAGAGGAGAAAAAGGGAACAACAGTGCTCAACATCTGACTTTTCAGCAAGAATTTTACCAATACAGGAAAAAATATGCATGAAAAAGCCCTGCTAACCTCTAGCTTGCAATTGCCTGAAACTGCTCAAGCAACAGATTCAGACTGTAAGCAGTCAGGAATGCAAAGTTTATACTAGGGAAAACAAAAATGCAAATGTTTTTAGTAAGTGGGTGATGTAAGATGTTTATGTTGGCAGTGCCACACAAGGCAAATGGAAATGGTGCCACGTGCAAACGATGGAGGATCATCCCCAAAGCTCTGAATTCAAATCTACTGAAACACTGGATTCTTGATATTCAGACAACTAACAGCATTGGGCAATGTTACAGTGCCACAGTTTATAGGCAAAAGCATCCTCATGTGCAGCAAGACAAGCAATGTCCTTCCAGAGGGCTGAGAACAAACTTTTCTTGACATGAACACAAGAGAAAGGCCACGTTATCTGTGCTGCTTCTTGTCACAAATAAATCCCATGTCATCACTCCTTCAGCATTCAAGTTTATGCTACTCCAAAATAACTAATGTAGGCTGTTTTAGCAGATATTGTAGCCTATCAACCCTAACTGTAAATACATACAGTATGAATTTGGTATGAAATGCAACTGTGTGGTTAAATTCAACTCAGGCTTCAACAGTAACTTCAGTGTCTGTAACAGTTCATTCTAATTGCAATCTCATCATGCAGTAAAAAATTTTCATTTTCCCTCAGCTAACACTCTAACCAGTATGATGTATAAGACCAAAGAAGGAAACAAGGACATGTGGTAATGTAATTGGTACAAAATGCTTACTGATTAAACAAATGGAAGCACATGCACCCTGCAGGTAGTGGGTACTTTTCAACCCTGAGCACCTAAAGTTACATTTCTTACTTTGTTATTAAAAATGTGTCAGAACTGAGGAATATATACAGATTCCTGGTAACAGCTGAAGCTGCTGTACTGCTCAGCTCTGAGTGCTGCTATCTTTACTTAGAAGCCTATTCCTCAGTACTTCACCTGCTCAAAGCACTTCAGTAAGCCACAGCTATCAGATTGGTTTCAAGTGCTTGAGAGGCCCAACAGATTTACAAGAACTTGAAGCTCAACTGCTCAAAAACAGGCAAATGTTTACTAAATGGAAAGTGCATCCAAAAGACAGCAACCACCCCTGCTTCATCTTCCACCCCCCCAGCATCCGTGAGCAGTCAGTATCAAACTCTACCAAACTCTTCTCCCACAGACTGGGCTTTCTGAGAGCCCATGGCAGCACCTCTCACTACCCACCAATTCCATTCCTCTTCTCCACACACATCTGCGTGCACAGATTTTCTGTGCATCAAAACAAAACACGCGCTCATCATCCATCACTCGACTCTTGTTACGAGAGAATGGAAAGGCAAATCATTCATCAGCTGCAGAATTAAGCTGTGGCAGATGCCTCTCTCAGCAATGTAACCGCTACTGGGAACCAGAGCTGCATTCATTAAACAAACGCGTATGTGGGATATTTTACTACCATGCAGCCTTTCCCAGCTGCACAATTTCATAGTAGTTTTCTTTTCTTCTTCTTTTTTTTTTTTTTTTTTTAATCCAGTACTATGTATAAATTTCTCAGAGGCACAAAACAACCTCAGTTTCCAAATCAGAAGACTAACAGAATTAAATTAAGGCGTTGAGCCCCGTCGCAACGTGCTGCTAAGGCCTCGTGGCAAGAAGTGAACTGCAGAAGGTTTTACAGAAACCAGAAAATAACCCCTAATATCAAGGCAATTTCAGACATCAGCGATGGCTTTGCTGTTCAGAACATAAACATCATAATGAAAATCTTTGTGCTCATGTGCACGTATGAGCACACAGTAAGGACACAGACGTACACATACTTGTATAGACTTATTTATCAAACATTTACTCTCTATCAAACATCTTAGGGACGTGCTATCACTAACTATAATTGTACCTCATCTTTTCTGCTAACCAAAGTAACGTCAACCTGTAAGAAACCCCATCCTCACTGTGCTTATTTGAAGCTTTCAAATGCAGGTCTCCTTCCTTCAGCCTCCCAGGATAAGGCAATGTGCTGCAAATACTGGAGAATGAGTAGAGGCACACACCAAAGGACTCTAAGAAAGTTCTGGAAGAACAGAGAATCTCCCAAGATAAGCAATATTTGATGGGTAACAAAACTCAGCCATGCCCAACAGAACAGCCTTTGGGTTAAAAGCTATTTTTATTTGAATAATAACCTAAGAATTCTATTTAAAAACTCACAAATCAGTAAACCATAACTAAAAAGGGAACAGGAATCTAATCACTTTCAAAGCTATCAAGCACATAATTCACCTCCAGTACAGAAGGTATGACTTTATGAGAAAGTGGCTGCTATTTTCTACCTTAGCAGTAATTCCAAGTAGTTCAGCACCAACATGGTAACAGAAAAAAGAACATAAAAAAAAGAGGTAAAAGAGTGAATGGTTGAACCAATGCTCCTCAGAGATAACTGACCAACTATGCAAAGTGGGAAGCAAGAGATATTGTTGAGAAAATGAACTGTCTCAATTCTCTAACATCTTCCATTTTCCAGCAGAGTACATTGCATTATTATTTCCTGTTAAATAATAAAAGACAATCGTGTGTGCCCTGTGCAACCACTCTGACATCAAGAGGTACAAACCTCTCCAAGATGGAAAACTTGTTTTAAAAAGCACAGAATTAAAGTCCATCTTTCCATTGAGAGAGAAGAATGTGGAGCAATTTGGTCACTAGAAGATGCTTAATCTACAAACCCATTAAGTGTCATGGTTAGATCAACACCACCAGCTTTTCTTCTCCTCTGTGAATCACTGAGCTGGGAACAACATACGTTATAGATTAAAGCAGGAGGTCAAGATAGCTGTGATGTGTACAGTGTTTTACCCAGTGGGATACGAATTAGAATTTCATGCTCCTTTTCTTGCTATTGTTGTTTGGAAATAAATCCTGGCACGCAGGCCAGAAGAGGCAAATAGGAACAATGCAGCAATTTATGTAAAAACAATTATGAAAGAACTCGACAGCAAAACATCGTAACAAATTTTCTCGTTAACATAACTATCCTCTCCCATCAGCTGTTAAAAGCACGTCAGGTAAGTGTGACTCCATTCCACAGACAGGCAACCACGAACACAAGTTTGAGGCAGCAAAACTATCTGGGCAATGGAGTGACAGGAACGTGGCTTATTTGGTATTTGAAAACTGGCTTTAGAGAAAAACAAATGGATTTGCCTCCACTGTACGAAACGGCCAGAAATTTCTGGCTTTATATCCAGCGAGGGGCTCCAAGCTCTTGAGTGACAGGGCCTGGTTCAATGAGAAGAGAATCAATTTTACACCTGGCACTCACAGCTCTGCATGCTGTCTCATCCATCGATCGCAGTGAATCGACTTGCCAGCATGAAATCCAAGCACGGGTAATCTGCTCCCTGCTGACATCAAAGAACAGTGCTGGTAAGCCTCCACAGCTCGCTGTTACCACATGTTCAAAGATGCTCTGAGAACAGAGGTTTTCTACGTTCAAAGACATTGCACTGCCACAATTTCTTTCCTCTGTCCTCACCAGAAAACAAATGATTCATCGCAGCAATCCAAAGTCACAATCATTTCCTTGCTATGGCTGCTAGGCTCAGTGCCTTGCAGCTTCCTAGCAGTTATTTTGTGCCCAAAAGACTCTGATGGGCTTTGATGAAAGAGTTATGAACTGCAATTTGGGGGATAATTTAACACAGTGTTAACCAGTCGATTTAGTCTACTGTAATCCTAGTTTTTAGAGAAACCTGCACTGGAAATTACAGGGGTACAGTAATGTAACAGAAGTAACTGCTCTTCCAACACCTCTGTGCCTTTACAAACTCAGATCAGTGCCCAAATGCACCCATATTACAGTTTCCACAAGTTACTTTTGATCATCTGAGAATGGTTACACATCAGGAACAAACTCAAATTGAACTCCAATCCCTTATATCTATATTCTGTAAGCTTTAGCAATGAGCTTTGCCTCTCTTTAGATATTTCCTCTACTATAAAGCTCCATTTTTTTTGTGCTTGCCTCCTGGATTTCAACAACAACGCTGATTTCTATACCTCACTGATAGGTAAGAATTGGGAAGTGAAGGCAGGAGGAAAAAGGGACAAAAATACAGGTACCTGCAAGCCACTAAAAGATCACTGCATTTCAGGAAGGCAAAAAACAAAACAAAACAAAGAGACAGGATACTGCCTAGACAGCCATAAAATGGATCCACGTCTTAAGCACGTGAAGTGAACAGAGCTATGAGAGAGGCTCAATGCCACTGCTTACAAGCAACTTCCCAGGCACAACTCAGGAAGGTCTGACACTCTTGGTTGGGTTGATGACAAGACTGACACTGATCTCTTCAATAGCAGAAGGCAAAACGAATTCCTCCACTGGAAGCATTGTGGAATGAGATGCCCTCAGCACTGCAGTGTCTGCTCCACGGTACAAAAGAAACACAGCCCTGCTGGTATCTCTTCAAACCTTCCCTTTTTTTCAGCAAAATATGATCCTGTTACCACGCAATTGGTTTCAGGATATGATTATAAGCAGATGTTCTGAATGTAAGAGATCTTTATTAAAATATCTTTATCATAATAATTTCTTTGTGATGAGATTTTGCATCCCCCAAAGAGACACTTCAGAGAACACAGTCCATCTATTTCCACTTAGCAGCAATCCTTCTTTACAACCGAATCATGCTTAACAGACTGATGATAGCTACTTTCCATTCGAAGGTTGTCTCATACCCATTTCTCATTCTGCACAACTGCTCAGATACCACATCCATCATTGCTCCTTCCTTTTCAGTGTGCTTGGTTTTACCCTAAGATAAAACCCTGTCATAAAAGCAATCGTGTCACGACAGATGTCAAGAAGCAAAGTCCCTGATTATAGAGCAGCAACGAAGACTTGGGTAAATACAGTCTTACAGCACTGTAATCAACTGTTAATGATTCTGTTGGGTATTTTCAATATGACACTGAAGCAAACATAGGGGTGGAGAATCTGTCCAAAAGAAAGATGGGCGAGTCTCTATGGGAAGACTCCCAGAGGAAGCGGAGGGGATTAGGAACCATGAATGTAAAGAAGCATATAAAGGGATGTATTCAATCACCGACCATGAGAAAGTAATTACTCAACTGATCTTCAAGGTTAAAGCTGCTTCCATTTAAGCTCTGAACAGTCAGGAGCATTGTTACTTACCAGCTGTATTTCAACTGCTGTCACAGGCCTGTGGTTCAGCAACTGCAGCTTTTCAGCCCTGTGTGCAAAGTGCCAAACAATCCATGTTACCACACAATTTGAGGATCCCCCAAAACGACTGTTAAGATACAAACACATTCCTGATAATTTAAGGATGAAAAGCCCACTGCCGAGGGTAATTGTGCCACAGTTTGTGGTGTGGTTTCATACCTTAATTGCCACGACAATTTGGGCGTTTTAAGTACAGTCATTCCTTGTGTCTAGACACATTGTTGTTGCCACCTAGGTTCAATTTAGCAAGGCACAAGCCCTTAGATCACATACTTGCCAGTGCAATCTCTAATAAACACAGTTACTTTGTTAATTGCTGCACAACAATGCTGAACAACTTGTCAAAGTCACAGCAGCTTTCTCTATAACAAATGACCACAAGAACTATTATCATACCTAAGAAGTCACAACACAGCAGCCAAATGGCAATAATTTATTTATTCCTTTAGCACAATGAAATTGCAAAGGTGAAAAAAAATAAAGCTTGTAACCACATGGCCACATGTGCTGTCTGCAACCCACAAAGCTCAGGCCTTTTTCTTCTGCTATTACAATGGGCAAAGGCCAATACTTCTGCACTTATGCCTTTGGACAGAAGCATAGGGGGGAAAAAAGTCAGTAAAAAATTAGTTTGACGTTGGTATTTAAACACAAAATGCTGTAATAGAGAGAGCTGAGCACCACTGAAACCAGCAGCAGAACTCCTGGTACCATCCAGAACCACCATTATGTTCATTCAGCCCCACTGTTTTCAGCTTCTTTTTGGCCAAACAGCCATTAACTCTGCTCCTGCATCAAGGAACCTCATGAATATCATCTGAAACATCCTGGTCATTAAAAACAGGAAAAAACAGGTACAAGGGAGAACATGCCAGCGGCCTTTAAATTGATTTGTTTTTCGGGGGGGAGCAGAGGGAGCAGGAAGGGAGGATGAAGATGTGAACAAACAAGTATTTGCATACAATTCAAACCACATTTGAGCAACAGTTCCAAATTGCTCACTTTACACCCTACTGAAATAGAAATCATCCCAACAGCAAAGTCAAAAGAAAAAACAACTGATATACGCCAGCATTGCATATTTCATTAATTTCAGATCACATTAACATTGATCACAGAATAGCAGCCTGGGCAACAACCTGGTTTTTGTGTTTCAGAGCAGAAAAACACAACATAGCATTGCTTAAGATATAACAGATGGTTAAAAGGATATATGAAACCATACCACAGGCACTTAATGATAAAAATACAGGTACAGCACGTAGATAAAGAAGTAAAGAGACCTGAACAAGTACATTTTTGAAATAATCATTACTGATTATTACTCAGCTGCTAGGAGGGAATATACCCTATGTTTACACAGTACCTCTTTATCACATACGTTCGTGTTAAAGAGAAGAGGTGCAGTTCACACAAACTGCAGTTGTGAAGAGCTAAAACCCCAAATTTACCATTATTCAAAGGGCATCCTTAATGCATGCTTACAGAAGAGTCTCCCTGTGATTTATTGGACCTGTGGGTGGTTTTGGAAGGAAACCTTGCAGCTCTCAGGAGAGCACAGAGGCTGTAATCCCCAGCCCTGGGCTTTACGAGCAGCAGGTCAGTGCTTACGTGTCTGCAGACACTTCAGAGACCGCCTCACTGCACACAGCCTCTGGCACCAGCTGCCTCTGAAAGCCAACACCAGCAACAGCTTCTAACATTGTAAGGACCTGGATAATGTACCATTCACACATGAGCACCAGGAAACCTTCCCAGACCACGGTGTTCACACTCATCAGGAGGATTCTATGACATTGACATTGCTCTGGTGACTGCACTGAACACAGAGCTTCCAAAGGCCATCAGCTGATTCCCAAAAAGAACAAGGCCCTTCACGTACCCATCCAACTGAGTGATTCTAACAGCCCTATTTCACCCACCTGGCCATAACAACATGGTGAGAATGCCATTCCAGAGAAAAACCACCCATAAAATTAGTTCCCAGAGTTTGCCTGGACCTACTTGTGTGTCTTCTACAACATCACAAAGGCCACTAAGCCCATTTTATAGATCGAGAGGCTACAATTAATGGTAAGCACTGTATAGGAGGTGGGTTTCTTCAGTGTAAGATAGTACATGGCAGCAGATATTGCTGTATGCTGAAGGCACCATCAAATAGTGGAGAAAAGGACCGTGTGGGCATGGACTGCAGCCAGGCCTCCTCCTTCTCTCTGGGACTTTGCACTGCTCTGAAAGAGATCTGTTCTTCCATTCAGGAAACAAAAGGCACATCCATCCAAGCAGCTGAAACATAAGACAGTAGGGAGAAGGTCCTTTGTGTCAACTCTTATAAATCAGTGTGTCAAGGGCAATTCCTACTGCAGCAACTGCATTCTCTCTTCCCTTCTGCAGAATAACTGCTTACATTTTCCTCCTTCTTCTGTTAACAAACCTGTCGGCAGATTTAGTCTGAAAGCTGTGGATATACAGACCACACAACAGGAACAGAATTAGCTTGGTGACCCCAAGCTATGAGTTTGCTTTGGTTTTGGAGAGTCAAGTATGAAAACCAAATACCCTTCCATTGGTAGGAAGCAGTGAATGAGCTGCCTTTGTTTCCCCTTCCTAATCACTTGTATGTATTTACTTAGCAGCTTTGTATTTACAAGAGACTATGCTGTGTTGGCTGCCTTAGTGTCAAAACCAAAATATTAATTGCTGCTGCAATTTACTGCTGTCAAAAGCAAGGAAAGGAAGAAATAAAATCTTAACACAGATTTGAGACAAGCACTGAAAACCCTTAAGATTTGTAACAGATCGTTTCAGAAATCAGTAAGAGGAAAAAAAAAACACCACCCAAAAACCTACCCACATCAAACTGTAACAAAAGATATCACCTCCCATAAAAGCAGAAGTCCTAACAAAACCGGGTAAAGAATATTAACAACATCTAAACACACAAAGAACCTGTCTCATTCACCTGAATAAATGTATGAAACATTTACTGCTTTTTCCTCAAGAGCCAGGAAACTGCGTGGTTCAGTGCCTGCAGCACTTGATGGAGACACAGAAGCTGGTGTTCTGCTCCTGGCCTGCCACGTTGTTTGCTTTACAGGACCTGGCCAAGCACACGTATGTGCCTCAGTCTTTTGCTGACAAAATGTCAGAACTAAAGAATCAGGATCAAATAACTGAAGTCACAGCGTGTCTGTGCTAAGAAATGCAAACTTCACTTATCCAGAGGCATTTTACAACAGGTAGAGCTCCATCTTGTTTATTACAGTGAGATTACTGGCAGAGCAGGCAACAGCGGAAATGAATTAAAAGCAATTATACAACATGACTGAAACAATCAATTAGTGAAACTGCTCTTACTTCCTGAAGACAAGAAATGCAGCAGAGAGTAAAAGGTCACCTCCCAAAGGTTTACTTGCTTATAAGCCATTAACATTATTATAAATTATTAGGAAATAGGCAGAAGTTACACGGACAGGACAAACCGATCGCAGCAGCATTACGTCAGCAAAGACTGCATGGTTCAGAATATTCCCAGTTTGCAAAACATACACAAAAGAATGAAAGTTAATTTGCAAGTAATTAAAATGCTTTATCTGAAAAACTTCATGCCTGTTTTGGATCTGCAAAGCTCCCCACTGGAAAAATGACTCAGAACATCAAAAAGGAATTAGCAGCAGGGTGCACAGAACCAAACGCGACATAAATGACATCTTGCTTCTGAAGGTGCTTGAGTAAGGTTGCAGGGTTTTAGAAACTACAAACACTAATTAATGCTGAAAAGTAACAACCTTTAGGCATATTAACACTATTTGATAATGATATAAGCAATGTATTTGCTTTATTTATAGAGAGCCCGAACATGGTGACACAGAAACGACCATCTGGAAACTGATACCCAGCCACAGAGCTACTGATCAATCCAAGCATCATTCTGATAAGGATGGTTTAAATGAACACGGACATTATTTTATTCTGGCAAAAGACTTTTAAAGTGACAAAGAGATAGCAGACTGCAAATGAAGTCATAAGGACAAGCACGCTGATATTAGTGTGGCACACCAGCTACCAGCACGGGTAGATGTTTTTGTGCCAGCCTGCAATAAAGATCAATAACACCTTCTATTTTCTGTTCAGTAAATATCCATCTGCTAAGATTGCTTAGGAAACACCAAGCACGTGTGTACAGGACATCAATATGACTTCTGCTTCCTTGGGAGGTCCATGGCAGCAGCACAGAAATTTGCCCCAAGCACACACGTAATCTGAGCTCACCTCTGGGGATCCTTCTGAAGCTTTGCTCCCAACCCTTCTTCCTGCGTGCACTTTCTGATCTTCCCCTCACATAATAAACACACTGACCAGAAGGGCACCCTCAGTGTACTCTTACAGCAAACACTCACAAAACACCTCTGTTTCTCCACAAGACTGCAATCCTCAGCCCCTGCCATTAACAGCAAGCACTGTATTGCTCCATGCAATGCTAGCTGAAGCTCGGCACCCACTGCACTCATTTTGCTTGATGCTGATATCAAAAACTGATCTCTGTGCACCACTCATTTCTTGATAGCATGTACATAACATGGATACTCACCTCCATCAGAAATAAGCTCCAAGGAAGTCAAACGCTGCAAGCTTGCACACGCACCAGTGTCAGTGCTGACTGCAGCATTTTGCATGGGCACAAGCAGAACACGCCTGAATTTAGCTCATGCTTCATTACATCTAAAAAATGCAAGGAACTTTTTCCAATGCAGATGAATCTACCTCTTCACTTTGTGCAGCAACCATATTTACACTCACGCTCATTAAACAGAAAGAAGAAAGAAAGTTTCCTTCATCTAAAGAGAAAGTGAGAAGTATTTCCAGCACAATTTCCCACGAAAGGTGTGTCTCTGTATCTCCTGAACTGTCTGGATTTTACTAATTCTGTTTGGAACATGAAAGCTGCTTGTTCAGGAGAAGGAATACATACAGAAGATGAGTGACAGCTGAAAGGGGTTTGGTAATGATCACCTGCATGCAGCCTCCTATGGGACCTGCATAGGGAGAAATCTCCAAATGGCAGTTATTGCATGAGGCTGAGCACTGCTTCCCCACCTCCACCTACTGAACTCCCAGACTGCCCCTAAATGCACACATATCTCGGCTTTCTAGGAAGAAGAAGTAAGTTACCAGTAAGATCTAAAGGCATAGTTAAGAAGAGCACAGTATTTGTGCCAAGATACAGCACACAGAGCTAAAAAAAGCCCTAAAACATCTGCAACCGCAAAGCCAGATTTATCCTCAGGAATGTGTGTATTCCAGTTGCTGGGAAAATTATAAAATAACAGCAGTACACATTAGCAGTGTGCCTTGTTACTAACTGAAAACACCAGATCTGTAAGGCAGATCCTATGGCCTCGTGTCAACCAAGACAATTCCTGTCTGAACAGAACAGGATTTGGTTTTTGGACGAGTGGCCCTGAGCTGTCTGTGCACTCAGTTGTTAAACTATCACCATCCTCCTGCTCTCGGTGCTGAATATTCACTTTGAAAGCTTTAGTGGAGAAAAAAATTACAGAGGAAATCATTCAGTCTTAAGTATTGTAGAGGTTTAACTTTGTTGTAGTTTTTGGCAGCAATGGGGGAAAATACTTTCTAAAAGCACTACTGACTTTCAGCACAGCAATTCCTTGAACGTGTTGACTTCCAAGTCAAGAAGGGCAAGTCTATGTCCTGTTTTTATGATATAAATAATATTCAGGGATTGGAAAATTGATTATTCCTAATTTTGATCCAAGACAGGTTATCAGGAACAGAAAGAGGTACCAGGAGAGCCAGTTTTCACTTAATCACAAATACAGAGCATGAGCTTAATAAATGTTCTTTTCATGCAGTGCCATTCACACCACCTTAAAAACTATTCCAGAGACTAAAACTGGAAAATTAGCTGCTTTATTTCCAAGTACAACACAGCTTACTGTACTGCAGCATCAGCCAAAGCTTGAGGCCTCATCAAGGTAAAAATAAAACTCACTATGATGTCAGTTCTGAGTTTTTTCATTATAAAGAAGAAATCCCTCAGTTCTACAGTTGCAAATTTTTTTTTTAACCAAAATAACTGGCAACAAGGAAAAAGGCTGTGCTGTGCCATACTTTGCTGACTACATCAGTAGAACACATGTTTAGTTGTCCTGGAAATTGCTCCTTTTAGCAGGGCAGCTATCTGAAATTACTCTGAAAGGTGTAAATGGTTTTTATATGCATTTATATGTAATACACGTATTTAATTGGAAAATTGCCTCTTTTCTCCCTGTGTGTGCCATTGTCAAAAGAAAGCATGACAAAGTAGAGGAGTGTCAGCAGAAAAGCAGTGTTGGCCTGAGATGTTGGTAATTTCAGCAGCAAATATCAGCAAAGGCTTTCAGGATGATCTTACAGAAACTGCACAATTTGCCAGCACAACACTATCAGCTCTGTAACAGCAGCCAGAACTTCTATCTTGGGACACCACAAGCAGCCTGACCAGCAGTGAGTTCTGTACTGTAACCTGCAGGAGGAAGGCAGGAAAAAAGAGAACGTTTGCTTAATTAAAAGATTCATTATTTAAATGAACGTGCCTCAATCCACAGATCGTTGCTTCCCTGGATGGAGTCTGTCCTTTCTCCACCACCCAGACATTCTGATACTCTAGCACAACCTAGTGCTTGAGAGCAGCAACAGCTGAGCAGGAAAAGTCTCGTTGCCCTACACACCTCACCACGTCTTCAGACACAGCTGCAAATCCTCCTTGTCATAAAAGCCCCGCATGGATCAACAACTCTCCGAGTCCTCACGTTAGAAAAGAAATTGCAGAGACTAATTAACAGCCTGTTTCCAAACCTGCCACATCTATTTCTCTCACAAGGAGAGAACAGAAGACGCTGCTGTCCCCTAAGAACTAAGAGATCTTAAATCAGCTGCTTCAGAAAACTGTTACCCACAAAAATACGGTGTGAGCATCTAAGAGGTTAAGGGAGAGCCAGCTCTTTGGATCCTTATCCAGAAAGGAAGTAGCAACGACAGACTCCGGAGTTCATTACTTTCAAAGGGAGGAAAAGTCATTTACAGTGAGATGATGGAAGCAAACACTGTGGATTCTTTCATCTCCAAGGGGAGGAAAGCTCTCCATCAGCTAACTGGAAAGAAATCTCAAGCGAAGCCTTTCATACAAATAACACCTCCATTCCACGGAATGGAATTGATTAAAGCCTTTAGTTTTTCATCTAACAACTGAGCAGTGTTGAAATGGTCTTGGACATGGACCAAAGGGAAGCTCAATATTTCCTTGGAGACATTAATACTTTAGAGCATTCAACATATAGTGCATTATATAGTAATTGCATAACATATGCCTTCTGTGCTTGGTAAGAAGTGGTGCCAGATGTGCTCTTGACAGTTCTAGCTTGAAGTGCCTGAATGGAAAAGATTAGAAGAAATCAAGTGCCAAGACCACACTAAACAATTCTGTTTCTTATTTTGTGAAATACGTGGCAATCACAGCGCTGGCAACTTCTCTACCAGAGGACTGAAAGTAAAATTGTGAAGGATGCTCAAGAAACAGAAGTATCACAGTCCAATCCGAGTTCTGATAAGTGATGAACGCTGTAAATTTGTAACCTACGCTGGTGGTTTGCTCTTTGCTCTCCCCTTTTTTCCCCACTTCTCAGAAGGAAATTACTGGGAGCAATTCTTTTGCTTCACTTACAGATTCTGATTCGGAGAAAAAAATCAGAGAAAATGACATCTAAAACCAAAGGCAACTCCTGGCAGCCATGAGAAGAAAAAAATAGTCAAAAACTCATAGCTGCTAACAATTTTGACCTCTGCAGCAGGCTTAGGAAGGCAAGTATTTCAGTAGATCTGCAGAACAGTGGGGCCCTATGGGAAGACAGTGAGAGATTTATAGCTGGAATTCTCTGCATTATGACCCAATATTACTTAGTACTTCACTCTCATAATCAGATGGATGATCCTGGGAAACAGAGGTATCTAACATGGGAAAAGAGCTCCCATGCCTTTTTCTAGAGCTAACCCAGAGGTCCTGGTCAAATTCCATCAGAAAGGAGATGGAAATAGGAAAAATTTCTTCTAAGAGAGGTGCTGCAGTGGCACAGCTGCACAGGGAGGTGGTGGGGTCACCATCCTTGGAGGTGTTCAAAACTGCAGAGATGTGGCACTGAGGGCCGTGGGCATCGAGGAGCGGGGTGGGCTTGGGGATCTGAGAGCTCCTTTCTAACCCTAATGATTCAGTGCTTCTATGATTTGCAGACACTCAGCTCTTTACAGTAAACAGAGTATTTTCTCCTTGCCTGAAACCAGAAAATAATTAGGATAGCTTGCCCACTACATAAATTAGAACCATACTTTATAAAATGAGCTGCAAGAAGCTAGACAGCAACGCACCGACCTGGCAACTTTTGTTCCACAAAGGAAAGCACTTACAAGCAAAGTTACAATACTCATGACAAAGCTTCCAAGTTCCAGCCTCCCCTATCAGGGGTTAGGGATGCTGAGATCTGAGCTGCTGATAGACTGAATGGGAGGATAACGATTTGTAGGGAGGGGTCACTGAAAAGTCAACAGAACAGCTGGCTGAGTCTGCTTTCTACTCAACTGCGCTTTGTCAAGGATAAACCCTTGCATTGTAGCACTGCTCGCAACTTGCACTTCTTTTTGTGACAACCAAATCAGCAAAAGCCCCTCTGCAGAGGATGAAATCCTTACGAGAACCAACAGCTGAGAAAAATGCAGTCAGTGTACATACAGCACCAACTAATCCCTCACAGCAGTCATGCGGAGCAACTGAGTCTTTGTTTTTTGCTTTAAGAAGCAGATGACTGATTAAAGCTATTCAGGCAAGCAGCCCTCTGATTCCATTTTGTTTGGCTCTAATTACTTACAACAGGCTTCACTTACACTCCAAAGAGGTGTCTGACAGCATTAAGCATTACTAGTACTATGAAAGGCATTCACACCATAGAGAAACACTACTCTTGAGTCTTCTTGTAACTGTGATGGAAATCTCGGATTTTCTAGGCAGGTCTTGCCATAATAAGGGACTGTATGTTCAGCTTTACAAAAGGCTGCAGGGGCAGGGGGGAATGCTGGATTGCCACATTTCAGTAATAGAAACATGCAACTCCACAGTCCTACAGAGCACTAATAATAGCTGACAAGTAGCACAAAAATGGGTGATGTGTATCTTAGTTTGCTAAACATTGATTAGCATAATCCTGAGATTGGATGTGGGATTCACAGCTTTAGGACACACTTAGCTTCAGAAGACCAGGCTTCCCAAACACCTGTAAGAGGCATTCATTACCTCCCTGTAACACAGCCATTTTCTCCACCTCTTCAGAATAAATGTGATTTGGATTTTTTTTTTAATGAAGAAAGTTCATAAAAATAAGAACATGGATAATAAACTGAGATTTTGTTTTGGATTTGTTTCTGGCTCGTTTCTCTTCATTCTCTTATCTTGCTCGAAACCCACTTGCAGCTTCCTCAGAACATTTCATGAATTCTACTTCATGCTTGGACAATGGGAAACCACACTAAAAACAAAGCACTGACAAAGTAAATGATAAAGTACTGAAAAACACATTTGTGAACACAGCCAAACTCAAGGGAATCCTCATGCCTGTAGGTGTTCATGAGTGAGGGGAAAGATGTCTGGATGAATACTGAAACGACAAAACGCTTCCAATACCTTCCTCAAAACCAGACAGTCATACTGTGTATGTGAGAACCTCCTAACATCCCTATTAATTTACACTGCTCAAGGATGGATCCCTACTTACTTGGTCAGCTTATGGCCCTTCATTGCAGCAAGGAACTCTCTGACAGTCTCAGGACTCTGGTATCTGCACGGTGTTTTTGAGATGTATTTCAGTGTCTGCAAGGAATAGCAAGAAAGTATGCATTAGTCACCAGTTACTCTTCCCATGTTGGCTATGAATTCAGGCATTTTTGAAGAACGCTCAAAAAAAATAATCATACTGTCATGTTGGCTTTTAAAGGTTCTTTTTCTAATTATTATTTACTTTTTTTTGTCACAGATCTCACATTTCCTTCTTCAGTTAAGACTCTACTGGTACTTCTCAGTGGAGTAAGAAAGGGGCAACACAGAGCTTCAACCTCATGTAACGAAAATTACATTAGTGCTTATCCAGGAAACCTGTGAACTCGTCTCACAGATATACCCAGAGAGCTCATTACACTTCAGGTTACAATTACAGCTCGGATGACTCCCCCTGTGGCTTTGGATGGTCATTTCCCTGTTCTGCCCAGAACCCAAGCTGCCAACTGAAGGCTACAGACAAGGAGTGATCTTTAGAAAGCATTTGCTTTCTTGATTTGGATTAAATATCTCAGTTGGTGCTCAGACTGTGATACAGCTGTGCTGAACACCATCACTCAGCCTTATTTGTCGTTTTAAAACCAACAGATTCAAAGCTAGCTGATAAAGGTACAGGTGCACACGTTCAATGCTTTGTTGTAGCTCGTAACGCTTGGGAAAAGCTGAATACTGTTCATCTTTAAAACCATACTTAATTCCTGCCAAGTTTTAATGAATTCCGTGCCAGGAATGCTCCCACTGCTCATCCATTAGAAGGCACTGCAGTTGCACAATGCTAGCAATGCCTCTCCAGTCTACAGCTGTTTTCATTTTTTATACAGGTTCTTGGCACTGCTTTCTTAAAGCTGATAGAAGCAGGTTAGCTGGGTTGTGAACATCTGGCAAGGTTAGTGCAGTATCAGCAATGTTCATCTGCCTTGAGACCATTTATTTCTGCTCCATTTTTAACGTAAAACTTACCAACCTCAACTAACTGCTGCAACATGTTACATCTGCTCTCCTTTGTTTAAAGCAACACAGCACCTAGCAGGCAGATCATACGTTATGGAACTGGAACTGAGCAGACTGAAAAACAGTACTGGTAATATAACTCCTAAAAAGAAATAAATCAAACTCAATTTCCTGGCTGCCTGTGCATGGGAAGTAGCCCGAAATGAAGAGTTGAGAATAATGAGAAACAAAAGAAAGGTCCAGGAAATCCTCACATTGTCTGCACTGTGTGCGTCAGCAACTGCAGGATTTGAAAGAGCATTGGCAAAGTCTGCTTTGAATTAAGAAAAGAAAATCTGCAGCTGTTGATGCTGTGCAGCTATACACAAAGCCTCCAAGTACCATCCAACCCATCCAACTAACTGGAGCAACGAGGCACATTAACCAGGATACCATAGGCACACAGCAGCTGTAATAATAACACAGGATCTCTAAGCCTGTATGTTATGCTCTGACGTTTCTTCTGTACTCGTAACTATTTTCAGAAAGTCTTTAAAGTGAATACTTATATTTAACAGTCTGAAACCAAGTCAGCTGATTGAGTTTACACAGCAGAAACCGAGACAGTGGGAAAAAAAGTTTTACAAGACCATCGTGTCAAATAAGAAGATATACAAGTGTATTTCCTGCGTGCTTCCATTAAAATTTGTTACTTTACAAGCCTGGGTAAATAAAAATAGGCTTCAACAGCACTTCTGCTTAAGAGAGTTGATCAAATACGGATTGCTGTATGCTTAATGACCAGGTTCACTGGGCTGCTGAGAAACGCATTTAAAAGCACAATAAGGGGTCAAACAACGATTCCTGCTGCAAGTTGTCTGCCCTTTTCATACCAAATGGCTTCTTATTTACCAGCCAAGACAGCTGACACCTATTGCCACTCAATACAATTGTTTAAAGGAGCAGTTTCTTCCAAGTTTGTCTTTCTCCACACCTCCAACTGAAGTGCCTGATGTGCACCAAAACACAGCTCCTCGTTTAACAAGCTGTGTCTGCTTACTTCAATACCAATGGATACATGCAAGCACAGAACTCAGCAAGACATACCCAGCATGAGCAGAAACAGTGGGATGACACATCTGGTTCTCTTCCAGCCTAACATAGAATAAAATGTACCCAGGGTTTATACTTCAAGCTTCGCTCCCTGGATAAAAAATGAGCATCCTACTGGTATTTAACATGTAGCAGTGAAGTAATTAAAGCTTTAAGCTGCATGCCAACATAAAAATAATGAAAATGAAAATATACATACTCACAGGGTCTTTCTGAGCTGTTTGAAAGAGGCAGAGGAAGAGACTGTCAGTCTCCATGAAGATTTAAATTAGCTTTTTGGTAAGCCTCTATTTCGTTGAATCTGAGGCTTAGGAATTACAGCTCTGTACCTATCCAAACAAAGGCAGAACTAATAGAAAAACAAAGCCTAGGCCAAATCTTCTTCACATGAGTAGTTTCACCACTCAGTGGGATCACTCATGCAAGCAAGGCAGTCTGCTTCCAACTGGCTGCCAATCACAGTGCTGCTCATGCAGTCCTCTGATACGGACACAAGAGGTCATATTTCAGGTGTGCTAAGAATTTGCTACTTTGGTGTATTCAAAATGTTATCAACCTGTATTATACAATGTGATTAGCTCTTTCTAGCAATTGGTTGAACATTTGCTACCAATCTGGCGTCCAACTGCTGTCGATATTTGTACTAGTAATTGTGTGATTCCAATCGTCTGCGCCTTGCTCTTCTGATAAAATCTATTTTAGTTGGAAATTATTAGTTTAATTCTGCTTATAAGAAAACACCCAGTGTGATCTGTGCCTCAGCTCTGAAACCATGCTTAGATGGCATCATCAATTAATCACACAATAGCAAGTTCTGGCCTGGGTCTTATAAGGGTATAATATGTGCAATCTCTAAAACAAACAAGCCAACAAACACTAAAACAAGAACTGAACAAAAAACCCCACGGTTTTTGTTTATTCCTTTTGTAAAGAATTTTAATCAGAGCCAAAGTCTGCAATCTGCAAGCACGTCCCAGCTAAAGAAAACTTCCTGAAAATGAGCTTTCTTACAGCAGGACAGGCAGTGCTCTGTTATCTGGGAAGATGGGAAGCTGGAGCTTCCAGAGAAAGGAGAAGCCTGGTGATGCATATTTGGTGTCTGCAGTTTCCAAACTCCTCCCTGGCAGCACTGGGCAGTCTCAGCCTAAAATTACCCAGGTCAGACTTATGTCTCTGCTTCATTACTTGCTCCCACTGAAAGGGGGAACAACTGCAATGAGAGCACAAAGTAACTGGGCAGTCAGATGGATCCGGTGATCCAACACCCAACAACAGGAGATCTAAAATGCAGCCAGAACTGACCCTAGAAATATCCAAGCTATGATCACATCACAACACATCTGAGCTTATAAATCACACTGACAAAAGTATCGCTGGATACATGGAACCAGCTGCAAGGCTCCGCACCTGTAGTGCAGTCAGCCCACAATCTGAGTAAACTGACCAGAGATTATGAAAATTGACCAAAAAAAATTAATGAGGGTAAAGGTGATGCAGAATGGCCTAACAATTGGAATCAGTGCAGCTGGGGGTATTTTACAGTCACCCACCTCATACATGATCGTGTTCAGATTCTGCTGACCAGAGCTCTGCTTGCTTTTTCCACTCTCTTTGCGCTGCTGCTTAAGATCAGTGAGTAGCTGGAACACCTAGAAAAAAGCAAACAAAAAAGCTTGCAGTCCTTTGAAACCATTTTACCTAAATATATGACATTGGGAAAACAAGCAACCCAAAATCCTAGCAAGCAATTGAAACTACAGAAAGGATTACTTCTTTGCTGACTGCACCAGCAGGTAAAATGAGAAAATATTCTGGCAACGGGAAGGTGAATAAGGAGATGTGTAAATCCATCAAAGCAAGAGCAAACAGATTCCTAGCACTAATTACATGTTATCCAAGAGACCTAGGAGAGAAATCAGCAGGAGAAACCTATTCTATCTTATCCCACGTCCTAAACAGAGTAGGGTACATACACTGCTGTACATACACCACTGTGATGGCACACAGCTCCTATTTAAATACAAGTAAGATGCCCAGAGAAAATTCCCCCAGATGTAACAGCAACACTTTCACACTTATGATGAGTGAGATCCAGAGGATAAGCCTGAATGCAAGGAAAACATCTTGATTTCTGCAACTGTCAGATCAGCTGCAACACCACAACTTCTTTACGTGTCACAGTCAGATGAGCAGCAAAATACTGTGAAAGCCTCACAATTACTGCTTGATTCCCACATTACACCACATCTGGTTGAAATTTCTTCAGATGTTTTCCCTCTGCTTTACAGATTATCCAAAGCCAATACCCACAGCACAGTAACACATCACTTCTTAGTGCTTCTTCTTGGTAACTGGCTTAATTCAAGCTCCACTGAAATTATAAACTTAAGAAGGACAAATGGAAACATTTCTAGATGGTGAGAAACACCAACACAGCAAGTAGGAGCCCTGCATTTACTTTGTGTGGTACTTCTATGAAAAAGGAACATGGTGTCCATTAAGCATGAGCAGGCAATCCTTGAAAGCCAAGCTGAAACTATGCATTGAGCAGCAGACAGCATGAAGACAACATGACTGCTGACAATGAGGCATCAAAAACCAACCCCAAGCTCACAAAAGAAATTCAGGCATAGAACATTAAATGCATCAGTCTTGAACACTCCTTTCAAACACCAGTTTCTGTGCAAAATATTACCTTGATAAAGAGAATGTGAGCTATGCCATCAAAGAAAAGAGAAGCAAACAGGAAGAGGTCCATAGTTTTAAGGGAATCAGTAACTTGAAGAGCAGTAAAAAGCCATGCCCAATGTAGCTGCAGGCACTGCAAATCCCTTCCTGCAAAGGGCTGAAAGCTGCACACATGACAACTGCGCTCTGAAAGCTGAATAAGCACTCATCAGGAACTTCATTTTCCCCACTTCCTTCTGCTCTTTTTCAACATATGTGATACATTCACCAACATCAAGACAAAGCCAAACAGAATTTTGTCCAAAGAACACAATGAACCGATTCTGCAGTTCTCCCTGCTCCACGCCACCCCTTTGGGACACCCACAGATGTCACAAAATGGGGCCAATGCCACAACTGAGCCCCAGTAATACCAAAGTTCCATCATCCAAAGAAGGAAGCAGAGATGATTTTGCAATAAATAACCTCCAAAATACTTGCTATCTTCTGTACTGCAATAGTACACTTATTTTGAGCAGATACTTAGTGCCAGTGTGGCTCAAATCTACTTCTTTGTAAGACAGCTCTCTCCAAGTGCCTCATTAAAGCTCTTCTAACAGCCACCAGACAGTTGTTTTGCTGTACACACACAGCTTGAGAGAAAACACTTTAAGATTTGCTTCAGAATAGGATAAAACAGCTGTGCAACTTTAAGCCTCAGCATTAAAACAATATAAAGAAAAAATACGGTTTACTGAAATCATTCAAAAGCCACCTTCATAAACAATGCATGGAGAGCTTCCTGTCACCTGGCTGAAGTTCAACCAGTGTGAACATCACAGTCACAGAACACCCTGAGTCAGAAGGGAGCTACATAAGGATCAAATCCCCTCTAATTTCTTTCTACCTCATTAAAAGAAAAAAGCCCGCAAAAAATGCATCTTTACTCTGGAGACAGGAGAGTAATTACAAACTTACCTACACTAGAAAATAAGACTCTCCAGATTTCCTTTTTCTTTTTCCTTAATAACAAATAAAGTAGGAGGACAAAGCAATAATCACAGACAGGTCTCACTTCAAAAAGAAGCGTGCAGGCGACTGAGCACAGCATCACAGTGCTGGTTCAGCATCAGGATGGAGACAGACGTACCTCAAAGTTACTCAGCAGTGCAGCATTCGCATCTTTTCTAAAAGAAAAGAAAAAAGAATACAATTATTTACGGTCCAAATGAAACCGTCTGCAATTTTCCTTTGCAGAACCACAGGCTCTAAAAGAACGGACACTATTTTCATATTTCCTCACAAAACCATTCAGAAACTTATCTGTGAGGAATCTACAATTACCAATCTGTTGTCACATCAGGAAAAGCATTATTTTTCCACAGCATAATCGTTCCATAAACATCCATCATATTTGGTGCACTTTGTCCCACCACCCATAACACGCTTCCATCTCGCACTCCTTTTACTCAGACCCACTCCCCCAAATTCACCAACTAAACCCAAATCTTTTCTCTTACATAAAAGGCATCCAGTTGTATTTGACAGGAAAAGTCATTAGGATTGCACAGACTATTTATTTATTAGCGAAGAACAAGGAAAGAAAATACAATTACTATTCCTATACAATGCACGTACGAGTGAGTACAGCTATGCCACTCAATTCACACACATGTTGAATTCTAAGAACAAATGAACAGCCACACAAAAACTTATCAAAATCCCTCTTTATTTATTATTTCAATCTTCACACGACTGCTCCTTCTCCAGCAGCACGAGGCTGAGTGCCCTGTTTCCCACCAGCCCTACACTTATTAATTCTGTCCCAATTAAGAAACACTTGCTGTCCACCACAGGTGAGCTGACTGCATTCTCATTGAGTTAAATGTGTTTTTAAATTAATGGTGCAACTGTGGCACCTATATTGCGTGGTACTTCTATGAAGAAGGAACACGGTGTCCATCAAGCACGAGCAGGCAATCCTTGAAAGCCAAGCTGAAACTATGCATTGAGCAGCAGACAGCATGAATATATTACTATATATTACTATGTACTATATATTACTATATTACTCCTATAGTACATGATTATATTACTCCTATATTACTCCTGCATATTGAAATTTTGTACTCGGAAATTAAAAAAAGGGGACAGAAAAGCCTGACGCAGGACACCATACATTCCCCTCACAATACATTGTGCTGAGCAGTCAGCAGCCACAACAACAGCAAGTTGCCATACAAAAGGAAGGAAAAAAAAAAAAAGGCTTTTCTCAGGTCTGTGCATATAACAACAAAAAAGGTACAATGTGTTGTTAAGCACCATCCCAGGCCTGAATAGAAGCGTCCCGTTCATCGCTTTCAAATGCGTTAAATGCATCCACAAACTTCCACAGGTTCCATCATTGTTTTTACATGAAAAGGACCTCCTAAAATACGCTGAGATGAACTCCAACTTCCATTCTGCTGACTCGAGCCAAACTTCAGCCAGTGAGCTCACGCAGCTGCCATTCACGTTTTACAAACCCTATAGCTTCTGTTGTGAGGTAAATGCAATTCTTCAGAATCTTTGCATCCAGGCCATGCTACACAAATCCCTATGGATCAAAGCCACCCTTTGTTAGGAATCAAAACAGCGCTGGCCAATTGCGCAGGGAATCATCGGGTGACAAAAGTGAGAGGATCTATAGAGTAAATACATCACTGGGAAAACGGGTCCCTGGGAAACCTATCAGAAATTAAATTATTTAAAACAACTGCTTTGTTTCTTTTCTGTTTTTTGGTGTTTTTTTTTGTTTTTTTTTTGTTTTTTTTTTTAATTTTAAAACACCGCCATGCTTATTTTCCTTCTTACAGTGGATGGTAAATGAGCCAGCCTAGATCTTAAGCCTTCAACACTGCTTGCTGTGCTGAAGCACCAGAGCTACAAGCTGGAAAGCAAACCCTGCTTCAAAAACGCTACAGAATTCATTTTTGCGGCATTAAAACTTATCAGCCCCAGACGAAGACTTAAAAAGCAACACACCAAAAGAATAAATAATCCTTCTTAGAACCGAAGGCCCTCCTGGGCCTCAGCACAGGACAAACACCATCGCCCCGCGGCAATGCCAACAAGGTAAACAGGCGCTCGGCTCAGACGCACACAGATTGTATCTGCACACACAACAAAAACCCCACACGCAGCGCGGCCCGGCGGCCCGCACGCGGAGCAGCGCCGCAGCCCAACCCGCCCCGCTCCTTACACCTCCATCTTGTCCGCCGCCCCGCGCAGCCGCGCGATGGCACCGCCTCGCAAGGGGCGGCCCCTGCTGCAGCGCAGCCGGACGGGAGCGTGTGGTGAGGCTGAAGGAGGTTCGGGAGAGGAGAGTGGAAGCTGAAAACGAAGAGGAACGACCGAAAAAAAGCAACAAACAAACAAACAAAAAAAAAAAAAAAAAAAAAAAAAAAAAACAACGTTCTCACAAGCGAAAAAGAGCAACTGCATTGGCCGGGAATCGAACCCGGGCCTCCCGCGTGGCAGGCGAGAATTCTACCACTGAACCACCAATGCTTGCGCTGTTGACTTGTTTTCCCACCTGATTCTCTTATGCTCTGTTGCCAATCTTGGTCGGCAGACAGACTTTCGTCATCTTTGCATTGCAATAAAAGACCTTTCAGGCATTCACAAACCTCTAAAATAGATGTACCTACGAGTCCCTCCGGATGATACGGAGGATGAGAATATACCATAAAATCACAGTCATAGAATATCCCAAGTTGGAAAGGGACCCACAAGGTCCAACTCCTGGCTCAGTGCAGCACCACTCAAAAATAACAAAACATGGACCGTTTGTACATTGAAAGGAAAGGCAGATTTCACTTGCAGAACAATAACTACTGCAGACAGAAGACTTGGTATGAAAAATGTTACTTGGAGTGGAAAATAGCATTGCTGTAATCCTTCCAAATCAATACCAGGCATTTGCAAATAGAAAAGTAAAGCCTTATTGCTGTATAGATGAGTAGTCCTGCTGTGGTCTGATTTTTGTGTGTTCCTGTGTGGAGACAGGAGCTGGACCCAACGATCTTTACGGATCCCTTTCAACTCGGGATGTTCTCTGATTCTATGAGTCCCATACACTGCTTGCTCATGGCAGGACTGTAAGAGCAATAGAGGAAAGAAGATGGGTTAGACATGTTGTACCACCACCTCCTCTTATAGCAGCAGCACAAAACCCACTAGCTAATATTCTCTCCGGAGTCAACCCAGGAGAAAATCTACTCTCAATCTGGGTCTTTGTTTCTCCTTGAGGTGTTGCAAATTGTTGGCCAGTTCTGAATGATTTGAGAAAACAGAAGAACTTCAGGAGCCATCTGAAGTGCTCAGCCATAAACAGCTCTTGGGTATTCAGGTACAGCCATGGTCAGATACCTTAGCGTTGGCAAAGGCTTAAAGTTTTTCAGCCCTTTTCATTTGCAGATCCCTAAAAAAGTTTCATTAGATATGTGGATCCATCCACGTACAATTTGTAGTACAGATGGAAATTATTTTATACCCTAGAATCACTTTTCATGGAGTCCTGAGGAAAAAAAAAGAGCCAGGTGAAAAGTCTTTAATCTGCCAACTGAAAGCTGTTGTCTGACCCAGTGGAATGGCTGCAATGGATGCTGGTCTTTTTCATGTCAGGATTAACTGACCTTGCAAGTTGGCAAATGCCCTTCAACTTCTTTGCTATGTTTCTAATCTTGCCCATGAAACTGCCTGTACACCATCTCCCAGGTAGACTAAAAAGAAGAAAAGAATTTAAAAGCTTTCACTTGAGAATGTTATTTCCAGACTTTACCAAATTTCCAGAGTTTTGTTCCAGAAGCCTACAAATCCTTACGTGCCTCTCGTCACTCTCTGTAGATATGGATTCAAAATCTTCAGCTTATTAATTGTATTTCTCCTATGTTAGATTTCTCCCCCAGCACCAATTTATCATCTTTGTGTTCAGTGTTTCTCCCAAAGTTTTGTTCCAGACCTTTTTTACTGTCCACAATGACAATGACCAATCCCAGCAGCTAGAAAGAATGAGCATAACACAAATGCCTCTCTCAGTGGCCCTCAACCTTTTTCTTTCCAAAAGAAATATTCTTCCTACATTCTTCCTACATTCTCCCTAGCAGAGACATGCAGCCTGTTAGGGTTGAAATACGCAAACGACCAGCTACAGGTCCACTGACATCATGCAAGGGGAATCTCTAAGAGAGAACTCATTACCATTACGTACAACTCTGCAGGAGAGATGGAGTGATTAGCTCAGTGAACTTTGTTTTTAATTGCTGCACGTTAGATGTTAGACAGTTATGCTACACCATCCATAGGGAATGCAGACATAGGTTTTTCTAAATGTGCTTAGCATGTCAACATTTTAAGCATTGGCTTGTGATTGTTACCACTAAGGCTTGGTAGAGAGGGGCCTCGGTATTAACTATTGAAAGCAGGGGGCCTAGCAATTGCTATTGAAAGCAGATCTGCAGGGTATTTGTATTCTTTGTCATGAAAGATGTTTACTGTATTCAGCATTTCGCTGATCACCCTATAGTGTCTTTTTTTCTTTTACATTCAAAATTCATTAAACAAGGTTGTTGTTTTTTTTTTTTTTTTAACAAAAAATGTCAGCACTGCTTCACACCAGTCTAGCTGACGCTGCGTTTGACCAGCACTTTCAGCCCACTGCGCTTTTTATTTTTCTAAACCAAAATGACACTTAAAAAAGAACGTTTTTAAAGAAGATATATTGTAGCTGTTTGTCACCCCAGCCTCAGTTATGAAAATGTTATGGATAGAGGATTTCTATATACCACAAAAGCACTTTCGGAGCTGCACTCCACAAGTATTGCGCTCTTCCAGCAAAACAGAAATAAGCACTGTGAATAGCAAGGATGTGAATGTGATTGCTAAAGCAAGTACAAATAAAATTCAAATCTTAGAGCACATTAAAATATATTTAACTGAACTTCTCCATGCTGCAGCATGGGCGATTTCCTCTTACTACTTCATTGCATGTCATCTGGGAATGGTATTTTATGAATGATGTGCCATTCTCTGTGCCAAATGGAAAACAAGTGGACAACAAAACACCCTTCCATGAGAACCTCCTCAGGATTGACTGGGGACTGGGGATCTGGGGGGTCATTCTTTCATTAAGCAAATAAAGGACTGAAAGAAGAAAACAGACAGCAGTGAGACATCAGTACCGGCACAAATAAAGAAGATAATAATGATGAGGATACGTTTCAGTGTTTGTTAGAAGAGACCTATTCTGCAATTCTATTCCCCTATTTTTCCCTCAGAAAAAAACCTTCCCAGCCCCAAAAGTCTTTAAGACATCTTATTTTTTCAATGTTCAGTTTCACATTAAGGATTTCTGATTGGCTTTACAGCCTCACTTCCATTTCTGTTACAACAATATTACTCTGTATTCTATGTTGCCCGCTGTATAGAAGAGATCAGTATGAAGTGTTTCATCTGAAAACAGGAAAAGAGAATTAATAACCTTCTAGATACAATCTGGGGCAGTGTTTGTACATAAACTAATCCCTGTGAAGTTGCTCAGTGCACAGTGATGCCGCTGATGGATCCCATGTGGAAGCACTTGTCCTTGCCATGTGTAATTCCAGGCATAGATTAATAAAAATAGGATCATCTGACAACAAACACAGAAGGCTTCTTGATCACAAAACTAGATTTGTGGTCAAGACACAGATTATGAAAACAGCAGAAATGCAGCTAAGTTGTTGCTTTTGATTGACACCCGGCTGCACGTGGGTTGCACATTTTTGTCCCACAGCATCCATTAGAACAATTTATTTCATCACCACAAATATAACACATGAATGTGTTACTGATCTCTCATCTCACTTGGGCACCTGGGATCGTTTTTTTCCCCCTTTTTCCCTCTGGGCACATCCTGCTGGATATCTTCAGGCAGAAAAACATACAGTCCTCACTTAGGCTGTGTGCTAGCCTATACTCATACCACAAACATGAGACAGATGCTCTCCGTATCGGGGGCATTCAGGTTGTAAACTGAATGCTTATGATTCTCCCAAAAGAACAGCAATTTCCTGTCAAAGCCCAGAGTAAGGACAAGGACATTTGTAAAGGGTGAAAGAAACAAGAAAAGTAGTAAAAATGATGGATTTCAAAGCAAGAAGGATGTGATCACAAAGCAAGCAATTAAGCAGTTTCCTAATGTAGATGTCCTGGAGTAAATTGAAAAAGGAGACAAGTTGAAGAACTGAGAGAAAGAAGAAAAAGGACTGGACAGGCAGCTAAAGGGAAGGAAGAAATGGGGATGAGAAAATTAGAATATGTTTCATGAGTTTTGCCAGAGGTCTGTGCCATGCAGATGGAAGCATGCTACACTGTAGTAGCACACGGTAAGGCAAACCAGCAAGTGCTCTGTCAGAGCAGGAAAGTGCTGTGTCTAATGTGAAACTGGTGCTGGGGAGCAGCTTTGTGAGCAGCTGTTTCCAATGCTCCCATTTTTTAAATCAATTCTTTAAATCCATGATGTGTAGAGTCTGATGGAGTTAAGACATGGGCTATTTACCAGGGCTGCAAACCAGTGACTGCCGTGGCACTGCACAAAACCCACAGCCTCAGGTTCACAGGACCTTCTCAAGATTGACCCAATGCAATTGGTGACAGCAGAAACCCTGAAAGCTGAAGTGTCCTTTGAAGTGGGGTGAAAAGGCTCATCTGCACGGGAACTGGAGACAGAATAGCTCCCAGCTGTTTCATTCTTGTGTGTTGCTGGCAATGTAGATGGAGTGTGGATGATCCACCCAACATCCCAAGTACATTCTACCTATGTAGAGGGGGATGCCAGAGCAAAACGACTCCTTCCATACAAGGACATGACCTGCCAGTTAAACCACACAGCAGACACTCTCCCAACACAGATACTCTTACACCAATATCTTTACAAACAAGCAACATGAGGGCATCTCTGCCAGCTCTCTTCTTCACAGCCACCCTACCCTCTGGGAAACCTCTCTCTGACCTTTTCCTGATTGAGCAGTGGCCAGACACAGGACAGGGGTGGGCAGCAGGAGGGGGGCCAGGGAGGAGGGGGGCAGAGCTGGGCTGGACGAGGGGACACCCCGCCCCAATGGGGCGTGACGAGCTGCCAGCTCAGGCTCCGAGGCACGTAAAAGCAGGGCGGTGAGACCGGAGAGCACGGAGCAACCAGCCAGGGCTGAGCTGCGGAGACGGTGAGCAGGGCCGTGCGGGCAGCTGGGGAGGCTCTGTGCTGCTGTGGGGCTGGGGCAGAGCTGAGCTGAGCCAGAGCTGAACTGAGCATCACTTTGCTGTTCTGCAGGTTGCACCAGGTGCCAGGATCGCTGCAAACACGAGCAAAACGTCGTCCGAAATGGCAACCGAGGTGAGGCTGAACTTTGCTTTTCCGATGGGGTGCTCTCGGGGTGCTGATAGCTGACTGATAGCTCCACAGAGCATCCAATCATGTTCGTTAGGGTGCTTCAGGGTGCTTCTCTCTGTCTGATTTCTTTTCCCAGAATTTTGAATGGAAAGGGAACAGCAAACATATTTGCTGCAACATACTTATATACTGCGATAATATGCTTCTTTACTACTTATATACTGCCATATACTAAGATATATTCCAATACCTCTTCCCCATCCAAGCGCTTAGCTCCCAACACTGGCCTTCAGCACCCCATCCATTCACAGCAGCAGGTTGCGCTCCCAGCGAGGGGCTGCAAAACCTTGCTTTCACACCTCGATTCCTCTGCCGCAGTTCCTGCTGACAAACTGCTATAAAGAGAAAAGTTAATAGACTTGAGCACTTCGTGCCTACAGTTTCCCTCCTCTCTTCCGGCTGCCTGGGAAGGGGCTCCCGGAGCCGCCCGCTGTCCATGGTACCGGCGGCCCCGCAGCCCGGCGCTGCCGCAGCTCCTCGGTGTTTGAGGATTTGGGAGTTTGCTGCTCTTCCTCTTTTTCTATTACTCAACATTCATAATACTGAATGGTCTGCGCTTTAGCCATTTTGGTGTTAGCTTCAAACACTCCGTAATTACAGGAGTGCTTTGCGAGTGTGGCTACTTTTAGCCCATAGCTCTTGGTCAACCGAATATTTTCTTGCAGTTTCCCTGCCTCCTACATCTTTCCTACATCTCCTACATCTCTTTGTTTCAAGAGTCCATGAGGGAGTTGATGACCTGTAGCTACCTTGAAGGATAGATCCATACAGTCCTTGTGCCATATGCACTAATACTTGTTTCAAGACAAAATCTCTCCAACAAGGGTAAAATATCTCAGACTCAGATTGGACAGCTCAAGGCTAAATACCTGCAAAAATAACATTTACTCCAACTCTTCTTTTTTTTCTTCTTCAAAGCTCTTTAAGTCCAGAGGCCTTTTTGATCAGTGCTACAGCACTGCAATGGAAGATGCTGGGGCACACCCACAGTTTTACTTGAATTATGTTTTACTTTTACCACGGCACTGAGAGATTTTTAGGAGAATGTACCAATAATGCATTTGAACATGTCCTTTAATTTCATTACTCTCAGGGGGATAAACTTTTGGGAGGAAGATTTGTTGGAAGCACAGATCCCATCATGGAGATTCTCAACTCTTCTATATCCACTGAGCAGAGACTGTCTGAAGTTGATATCCAGGCAAGCATGGCTTATGCTAAGGCCTTGGAGAAGGCTAGCATCCTAACCAAAACCGAGCTGGAGAAGATCCTGAGTGGCCTGGAAAAGGTATTTGTTTCCTTCATAAACTGTCATGCATGCTCAGTACAATTCCCACAATAGTACTTTGATGAATAGCTTATCTGACAGCATCTGTTGTCACCTCCCTGAGTTAATGCTCTAAAAACCATCTTTCTGTATCCCCCATATCCTATTTCTTAGCACTAGGCATGTGGAAAAAGGCATGTGCCTTCCTGAAAGGGAATGCTGTCTGAAACCAGGGAAAACTGGAGAAGCCTCTGTGTATTGCATTTGGTACTCCAGCACATAATCTGGAAAGGAGATAAATGCTTAGAATCCATCTAGCTAAAGCAAAAATCCCTGATGAGCACAGTGTGGATACTTCTTATGGAAACCTGGTGCCTCTGTGAGGTGTGCTCAGCATGACCTGCCCTCCCATCCTCACAGACTGAACATTCCTGAGGAATTGTTTCAGTATAATTAGGAATATTCCTTCTCCAATGGCACTTGAGATCCTTTTGAGTCTGGCTGCCTGAGTTAGCAGAAGGCAATGCACAGTATTGTCTAGGGGTGAAGAAGAGGCAGCCACTAAGCCCTTCTTTTGAAGTGTTCATTGTTGTTGCTCACCTACCATGGACAATGGGCAGTCTATACAATGTTTGTATAAGAAAATCTTTATGGACAATGCTAAAGCAATGACTGCCACTTTGGCTCACTTTCTCACTGTGATGCTTAAGTCCTGTTATAGCCAGGATTGCAGGATCAGCAAGGATCAAAAGATGAATCTCCACCAAGTGCAATAGAGAATATAGGGATAGAGCAAGCAGCCAGCCTTGGCCTGAAAGAACAGGAATGCTGGAGCTCCTGTGAGAATGCTTTCATTTCCAATTGGGTGCAGAAGTTGGTATTTCCTGGGGACAACTTGCAAGTCCCCCACTCAGGGAAACAGTATGAACTGACTTGTGTTTCTGTTGACATTTATAGATCTCTGAGGAATCATCTAAGGGAATCCTTGTAATGACCCAAAGTGATGAGGATATCCAGACTGCCATTGAACGCAGACTGAAGGTTTGGGTCCTTTAATTCCTCTTATTCTTCTCCCTCTCTAGCTAGTGCTGCCTGACATTAAGCACACGTGCCTCAGTCCCCAACAAAGTGAAATTCCTCAACACCCTGTGGTACTGACATACTAGGTGCACAGCCAGCAGTGTCCAGGACCCCTTTTGTGTGGAGAAGAGGCTGTACAAACCTAGAATCCAAATTTCTCCTTCCCCAGAAGAGAATCCTAGACCTGAACTCCTTGCTAAGTCGGAGGATGTCTGCTCTTGCGAATAATCTCTTGCCCAGAATAGAGACACTGACAGAAGTTATTCTCTTGTCCTCAGGAGCTGATTGGGGATATAGCTGGAAAGCTGCAGACTGGAAGAAGCAGGAATGAACAGGTATATATGGAACTCTTTGTTTTTCCCATTGTGCTCCTCCCCTCCTCGCTTCAGGAAATCTCTGACCAGAGCTGCCTTTGGCTCCCATCCCATAGAAGAAGATATAGTGACATTATAACATCAATATGACCAAGGACACATCTGATACATGAAGATTCATCTTCCCAACATACAGAACAAGGAGGGGGTTATTTTCCAATGACAGTGTCAGGCTGCCATATTTGTGACATACTTTTTTTCTGACTGTGGCCCATCTTATCCAGGTTGTGACTGACCTGAAGCTGCTCCTGAAGAGTTCCATCTCTGTCATCTCCACTCACCTGCTGCAGCTCATCAAGACCCTGGTGGAGCGTGCTGCCATGTAAGTCCTTTCCCAGGTCCATGCTCTCATCCTTCTTGGGACAGGAGACTCTAGACTCGCTCTTTGACTGGTAACAATCATGGCAACAGCAAAGTCTTCTGCAGAGGATGTTGCAGTCAGGCACTATGTAAGAGCCACTCTTTCTCCACAGCCCACGTGAGAGATACATTCCTCTTTCCTCATTGTATCCTGGGAATATAGGGAGAGGAATTCAAAGACGATGTTCAGCACAACACAGGCTAAAGATATTCTCCTCATTACCTTGCCAGAAAACCCAAGAATGTACCTTCCACTGCTCTCCATACTGACAGCTGTCTTTCTCTTCTTTCACATGCAGAGAAATTGATGTTATCATGCCTGGCTACACCCACCTGCAGAAAGCTCTGCCCATCAGATGGAGCCAGTTCCTGCTCAGGTAAGCACCTTTCACACTCAGCTCTAGGAAGGGAAGCTTTCTCCATTCTTGGAGCCCTGCACAGATGGAGCCTAGAAGTGCATCATTCTCTGATGGGGCAGCTGGGGGAGACATAGCAGAGCTAACCCTGAAAGCTGCCACAGGAATGCTTCATGTCCAGTGCCTCTTGGCTCTGACCAGCCAGAAATGCAAATGCTGAGTGCGCTGTAGAGGTCAACTCTCAGCATGCCCTATCTTTGGCCAGTATTACCTCTTGGCTCAGGCAAGGTTTCTCAGCTTCATCTGCTTTCTCACTCATGTCCCCTTCTAGCCACGCTGTTGCACTGACCCGTGATTCTGAGCGCCTGGGAGAAGTGAAGAAAAGGATCACTGTGTTGCCTCTGGGAAGGTAATGTGTACTTTCTGTGTAATGCCTGGGAAACACTTTGTTATCTAATGTCTTGAGGGATATCTTCTCTGCTTAACACAGATCAATTTTGATTGGAGTTTGCAAGATAATATATGTGACTTCTTTTTCTTTCTTCCCTCGCAGTGGTGTCCTGGCAGGCAACCCACTGGAAATTGATAGAGAGCTTCTGCGTAGCGGTAAGTGTCTGCTGTTGAGTTGCATGGGTCTACTTGATGCATCTGGGAGGGAGGGAAGAAAAAACAAGTGGCTTCCCAAGGCATCGTCATGCACTATAATCCTGGACCAAGTCTCAAGGATTCACATGGTTTTTTTAATGCAAAAAGAGGGCTATGTGTGTGAGGTGGTAGCTCCCATGCTGCATAACACTTCAGCATGGATGTGCTGTTGGGACTACTCAAGGACTCAGTCATCTGTAGGCTGGGCAGTCTGCTGATTTCAAGCCCTGGTCATGATAAACCTGACCTCTTCTGCCTGTCACTTTCCTTACAGAACTGGACATGACTTCCATCACCCTGAACAGCATAGATGCCATCAGTGAGAGAGACTTCGTGGGTGAGTACCACTCCACCATTCCTCCCTCCCCCACATTAGAAGCAGACACCGGACACCTTCCCAGTTAACATCATTTAACAAGGAAGCTGAAATCCCACACTGGGAAGTAACCAAACAGAAAATCTTTGTACATTTCTAAGCTCCAGTCAGGGCTCCCTGGTTTGTCAAACACAAACACCTTTTTCACCTCCTGCTTTTCTACCTTTTCTGCAGTGGAATTAATCTCTGTTGCCACCCTGCTGATGATCCACCTTAGCAAGCTGGCTGAAGATCTCATCATCTTCAGCACCACTGAATTTGGCTTTGTGACTCTCTCTGATGCCTACAGGTAGGTGCCTGGTCACTGACAGTCCATCCCCAAGCTCTCCTTGTCCATGATTTATGTTTTTGGCAACTCAACCACATCTCCATTCAGCGATCACTCCTCCCCAGCTACTGCTGGCAGAAATATGCTGTAAGAGAACAGGCACAGAAAACTTCCTTCTCTGCTGGGAATTCCTGCCAAAGCCCTTCCCAGAACAGCCCGGCTTTGCAATACTAACAGACTTCCTGTCTCTCAATGCAGCACAGCCGCTGCCCTGCCTCTCTGAGGGCACAGAAAAACAAGTCCTGCCTGCTCTTGCCTTCTGTGCAACTGGGCCTTGAAGAGAAGCCTCTGTTTTGTCTCTTCTGAGAGGCAGCACCGGGTGGTAGCTCCAGACAGGGCTGCAAAACCAAAGATTTTTCTTTGGGAAACACGAGAAACTGTGCACTCGCTTCACTGCTTTCCTACACTGAGACAGGAGTCCAGTTAAGGGGGGGCTACCAATCACTTTTGCAGGGCTGGGCCAGCGTGCTGCATGTCATAGTCTGCATCTGCACAGACTGGGGTCTTGCTCACCGTTACACTCCCAACACTTTTCTTCCAGCACTGGCAGCAGCCTGTTGCCTCAGAAGAAGAATCCTGATAGCCTGGAACTGATCCGCAGCAAAGCTGGTCGTGTGTTTGGACGGGTGAGCCTGTTAAAGAAAGAAGAGGGGCAGGGAAACTGCTCATATTGGGGCTGAAGAAGCTTCCTTCTTCATGCCTCTGTGTAAAAATTGAAATTATGCTGGGAGTAGGCTGTGAATCTCTGCTGGGGCAATGTGCTTGTCTTCCTGCAACTAACTGCTGTACCTGTTTCTCTCTGCAGTTGGCTGCAATTCTCATGGTTCTGAAAGGAATTCCAAGCACCTTCAGCAAGGATCTGCAGGTAAAGCAGACGTTAACTTCCACTTCAGTTCTTTGAGGAGACTGTTGTCTCCTGCTCTAGAGAAGTCCCTTGCACTATATTTCTTGCACAAGTACAGCTTGTGTGCAAGATGATGAAACTGGGGCTGCATCAGGTCACCTAACAGCAATTTCCATCCATGCTCTCATGCAGGAGGACAAGGAAGCTGTCCTTGATGTTGTGGACACTCTGACTGCTGTGCTCCAGGTTGCCACTGGAGTGATTTCTACCCTCCAGGTAAGGCTTCAGCTTTTCATCATTGAATGTGGTTGGAGATCACATTTTAAGTGTAATACAGATACAAGAGCTCTAGTCTGGTCCTAACATGAAGACTTGCTCACTCTTACTGCTTGTTAGTGCTCCCACCACAGGCAGCTCAGGTACACTTGAGCAGAATGTCCTTGAGAGCCTGGTCCCTCCTAGATGAAGTCCATTCTTTGAGACCACTAAAGGTTCCCTAAAGAGCAGCTGACAGTAATCTCTCTCTCTGCAGATCAACAAGGAGAACATGGAGAAGGCTCTGACCCCTGAGTTGCTGTCTACTGATCTGGCTCTCTACTTGGTTCGTAAAGGAGTAAGTATCAGAGAAAGGCTTGGAGCTCTGACTTCTTTAGATTCAGAACACTGCTCAGTGAGGGCCTGAGATGAGGCCTTCTGTTCTGTCCCCAGGTGATGGTCAGTGTGGGTCAACAAACACGAGAGCTGGAAACACATTCTTTACATGTATCCCAAGTAGTGGAACTGCTGCCGGGTGGACTTGATAGTAATTTACAGGTGGAATTTTACATCCTAATGCCTTCCTACTTCACGCCCTAGAAAACAAGGATTTGGATTTCATTTCTCTAATTAAAATCAAACCAACCAAAATGAGAACACATCTACTCTTGCCCAAGACTGTGTTACATTTGCTTGGTTACTTGATTGTGCTCTTTGCTTCTCATTGCAGATGCCCATCAGACAAGCCCAAACTGCTTCTGGGAAGGCCGTCCACCTTGCTGAGACTAAAGGCATCACCATCAATAATCTCACCCTGGAGGACCTGAAGAGCATCAGGTTTGTACCACATTACCATAGATCCCCTCAAAAGACTGATGTCAGCCTGGCTTCCTTATGGTCCCCTTCTGTACGTACACCGGGCTTGACAGCACTGCAAAATTCTTCCTGGTCTATATACCACTGCTGCTACTGCCAAGCTTGTATGGACTGAAGTTTGGTGAGGGAGACAACAGTGTTGCCTTTTGACTGGAGCAGGGCATGGGCCACAGGTACTGGGAGGGTATGGAGAAATTCATGCCTTGACCTGGAGGTACCAGCACTATAGAAGAATTTGGCTTCAGACTTCCTTCCTCCCTCTGCCCTTGCAGCTGTGTCTTTGGTATGTCAGGAACTGCTCCTGTCAGGCACTACAAGTACAGAAGCAGAGCTTCATGATGCTTTTTCTGTTGGAAAAAGGCTCAGCCTCTACTTCCTTATTTTCTCCACAAGCAATGAGCATGGAAAACCATCAAGCAGTGCCCCTCATTCCCCACTGATAGCTCTTCTCTTTGCCTCCCCAGCCCTCTGTTTGCCAGCGATGTCTCCCAGGTCTTCAGCGTTGTCAACAGCGTGGAGCAGTACACTGCCGTGGGCGGCACTGCCAAGAGCAGCGTGACTGCCCAGATCGAGCAGCTGAGGGAGCTGCTGAAGAAGCAGAAGGAGCAAGCTTAGAGTGTGGGGACAAATCCCGTGGCTGCAGCGTTGTGCTTATCACACTAATCCAGAGTTAATAAACACTGTGGTGTATTGTAGTTCACTGAAACTCCTGTGTTGCGTATTGCTTTCAAGGGACAAAATTGGGCTTCTTCAGCCCTTCTGAGGCTGGTCACTGGTGTGAATGAACTCTCTCCTTCCTGGCAAAGGAACTGTTATGAGGGGACAAACTCTGCTGGGCAGCAGGAGGGCAGTAGGAGGGTGCTTCTACATCAGGAGACCTGCAAATGATGGGAGCAGTTGGACACAGCACAGGGCTGGACACAGCACAGGGCTGGACACAGCACAGGGCTGGACACAGCAGTGCCACAGCAAGCTGTACAACATGCTGAGGGAAGATTGGGGTGTCTGTAGGGAAAGACACATGGTATTATATCTGTAACACATACCACATGTCCAGCCCTCATTGAATTCCTGCTAGGACTATGTTTCCAGCCAGCTAGGCTGCCTGCCTTCTGGCAGGGAAAAATTTCCTCACCAGTTGGCAGTGAAACATGCTTAGTCTTAAGCAGAACGTGGTCAGCAGGACAGCCCACAGCTCCTCCTCATTCATCATTAAACCACCTTCAGCTCTGTTTATTCCAAAGAACAGGAGTTGCATTGTTTCCAGGAAAGCTCTTTTTTCTGTGTGACCCAGGCCAAGCTAGCTGGGGGCAGACTACTTGAAAATAAGCTGGCTTTTCTGGCTAACCCTTAGTAATAATCTACCATCTTCCCTTCTGTCCATGCAGATATAAAATCAGGACACAGGCAAGAAAAAGCATTATATTAGGAATGCAAGTGCACCACTCTAGTGTCATTTTTTATGGGGAAAATATTTGATTCAATAAGCATTTGTAACATTCCCCTACATTAGTGTTCTGCAGTGATTTCTGCATGGAATGACTTCAATGAAAGGCAGAGGAAAAACTGTTTCTACAGGGAAGACAGGGCAGATTTCATTAAACACTAACTTGATACTGACAGTACAATAGTGCTAGTTGTCTTGGACAATTTCTCTTGTGTCACAACATTTTAAAGCTGGTGGTTTGCTCAGCACCCTGCCCTCCACGCTGATACAGCAACACGTTATTGACAGACTACTGCAAGGCTCTGCAACACACGTAGGTAATGGCAGGAACACAAGCATTGCCTCACCATGCTTTGGTTAAGGGCTGTAGCACAGTGCAAAGTACTGTGAACTAAACCTCCTGCCATTAATGATGTACTACAGAAGACAACAAGTGCTTTCAATCTACATTTACAGCATTAGCTCTTCAAATACATAGAAGCACCAGCAACACAAACTTCCCTTTCTTCAATGCTTCCTATCACCCTCAGTCTCCCCTTACTCTTAGCCTTAAACACGATTTATTCTGCTGCCATGTAAAGAACACCACATTTAAATTACTGCTCAGTAAGTTATGTATTTGCTCTGTCACTTTCTGTTCCAAAACAGAAACAGAGCTTGTGCCTCAGTCTCTAGATAGGTTAGCTGTGGAAGGGAAATCACTTCTGCTTACTTAACTGAGGGGAAAGGTGCAATAGTGGGAGAGGTGACATCAACACCCAACACTAACAGAGTCAGAGCAAAAGATCTCTCCCCATTTCCTTCTCATATTTCTTTTCTTCTCTCCCATAATCTCAATTAATAATTTCTCAATTCGTGCCACTCCCCTCTTTCTCCTTGTTTGCATCTGCTAGCCCCGCTCAGTACCTTAAGAGCTCTCAGCCAAACAGATTTCCTCTTGCTCCTAGCAGCAAGTATCCAGCATTGCTCCTCATAGCTGGTACCAAATGAGATGGGACCTTGCCAAGTTGAAAGCAAAACAGAAGTTTTAGCAGATTGTCACATCTCAGTTTCCTACGTAGATGAGCAGTTCATAGTCACTGCTGCTTCCCACCCATTTTCTTAAAATTATGGAGTAACGTTGAATGGGAGGAGACTCTGAAGGTCTCTGAAGCTCCACAGACATTACAGGAGACTGATCAGAACACCTTCACACTTTCATATCACACTGCTATGACACACTGTGCTTAAAGCCCTGTTTCTCATCTTAAGAAGTTCTGCACAAACAGAAGGATCAGTGTCTTGGACAGCACTTGGGAGGGACTTGGGCTTAAATCTCTGCTCTGTCACAGACAACAGGAAGTCATTTAAGCCAAGAATTCAATAACTATCAATTTAGATAGACATTCTGACATGTAGCCTTTTAATGAACTACTGAAAGACCCAGCAGATGGTTCAGTAACTCTGATCTGACATCCAACCAGATAAAAAGCCTACAGAGGAGCTCTTAAACATTACACAAAGTAAAGAAATACTCACTTAGACTCCTCAAGGAAAATATCTCTAGCCTGCTTTCATGCTCTGGAAAAGTTCCACTGAATATTTTGTCTCCTAAACACATTACTGTGCATGGTCATTCTGCCCTCTAGTTCTCAACTAGAAAAGCAGAGCTACTAACACTTCTCTCCTGACCAGATGGATTTGTATGACAGCAACGGCCCCTGCAGGCACCAGGGATGAATATGAGACAGCAATCCCCAAATGTATCCATCTAACCTTCACCAGCAGCAGCACAAACCAACTTCATTGTGATTCCTCAGTCATTCCTATGCCTCATGTTACAGAGAGATGCAAGTACAGAGAAGTGGAAAAAATGACACAGAGGCCTAGAAGTAGAACAGAAATTGGAGCTTACACTGTTCTATTTAAGCATGTAGCTGCTTAAATACAGGTAATATTTAGAAACCAAATTACACAAAGAATGTGATCATACATATATAGGATGCTTAATGGTGTAAAATCTCAAATTGCAAAGTAGGCACAGGGAAACTCAGGAAATGCCATAGAGATCCCATCTCCCCTTCTCTAGTTCTGTGGGTCAAAAAGAGGTGTCTCAGGGAGAGGTGTCAGGAGCAGCTGGGTGCCCTCTAACCCTCCTGACTGCCGCGTGTTGAGCATCCTCCTCCAACCCTTCTGGACTTTGGGTAACTTCTCTGCAGTGCCTTAAGAGCAGAGGTACATCCTTTGTATATGTTACACATGTTCCATATAACCAATATCGAGCCTGTATCACAAACACCAGGAGGTAAAGCCTCTCCCTGTATATAATCGATTCTGGATGCAAACGTGGCGTTACTGTTTTGACAGCTTCCCAACAACCTTCAGTCAAAACCCAGAATAAGGACAAAGACACTCAAGAAAGACCAACAAGACATGAGCAGCATCAAGCATGGAGAGATTCAGAAGAGGAAGGAAACTGGTGAAAAAATTTCAAACAGCTTTTCCCAGTGTGATGCTGTGCGTGTCTGCAGGCCTGCTAGTCTTAAAGGGAAAAGTCATCACACCCCCCCAAAAAAAAGATCACAGGGAGAAATGTTTGAGAAGCAGCAGATTAAGAGTTGGGTATAAATCCAGACAGAACGTGAACTTTGTTCTGGGCTGATACTGAAGGCAGTGCTCTGGAAACCCAGGGACAAAATATATCTGCTCATTCAGGCTGGCCAGAGGCAGACGAGCCTGATGCTAAGCTGTGTCATTGCCTGAGTCCTCTTTGCTACAGAAACCAACATACCCTAATCATGAAATCCCACTGGGCTTCAGGCTTCATCTTCAACTCAAAAAGGGGACGAGTAGCAGGACTGAGAAAAGATAGAAAAGATGGCTAATTACGTCTCTTCCTACCTGAATCACCCTACAGTCTTGTGAAAGGCAAGAAAAACCCAAAAGGGACAAGAAAATTGGGATGTGCTTCCTGTATTGTCTCAAATACTTCTGGCATTGTACAGATATAAAAAATACGTGGTAGCAGCACGCTTCCAGAGGCCAAGCAGAAACAAGCCACTTCTGCGGGGTGCTATGAGGGAGGGAGAAGCGGAGTGGGGCCGGTCGCAGGGACACCCCGCCCTGCCGGGGCGGGACGAGCTGCCAGCAAGGAGCCGAGGCGTGTAAAAGCAAGGAAGAGGGGCGAGTAGCACGGAACGACTTGCCGGGCTGAGCTGCTGAGACGGTGAGTGGGGCTGAGGGGCTCGGTGGGGCCTTACTGCTGGTTGAGGTGCCAGGGAAGGGCCAGAGCTGAGCTGTTTCATTCCGTTCCACAGGTTGCAGTGGGAGTGCACACGAGCGAACGTCTGAAATGGCATCTGAGGTGAGGGCAAACTTTGCTTTTCCTGCCGGTGCTCTGGCAAATGCAAGCTCAACTTTGTTACAGTCTAAGTCTCTGCAGCCTGCAATTTCCTTCAGGTTCCTCCCCTTACCTCGGAGAGACTAATTTAATGCACTGGTGCACTTCACTCAGGCCAGCTTGTGCTTATGCAGATACTTTACAAAAGCTTGTGTAACAACTTCTATATACAAAAGCTTCATTTTCAGTTTCTGTGCCTGGTGACTAATTGTCTTAGCAACTCATGCCTTCTGCCTTCAGAGTGGCTACTGCAGCCCTGGCTTCCTCAGCTCTGGTTACAGATGAGCGTCCATCAGCTGTCAGACTGTGCTAGCCTGACCAGAGTTCAGTAGCTAGCTAAAGTTAATCCTTCTGTTTTGCTTTCCTGACTGCAAATGTATCTGTTGCAGTTTCTGCTGACCCACCTCTTACTTCAGTGGAGCCCCATAGCACAGAAGATATGCCTAAGACAGAGCAGTTCCTCATTCAGGCACTTACCATCTGGTACTGGCTTTTGATTTTACATCCCTATGCCATAGTTCCATGGGCACTGGATCCACTGAGGACCTCTAACTTTTCCTTTCAGATTCTGATTTTTCTTTTTACCTCCCTTCAGCTGGCTGACAGAGCTGCTGTAAAGATGTGAAAAGAACTACGTGCAACACTCACATCTGTAGGCTTTCTCTTGCTGTCCTCTCAGACACGTTGTTTCAGCAGGGATTGGCAGAAATGTGGAGACAGTCACTAGGGAAAAAAGTTTCCAGGGTTACTCAATAGTATTTTGTCTGACTGATAAAACCCCAGCACAGATCAGTTTGCAAATGTCTTGGCCAACTTTTTGCTGTCCATGGTAGTTACAACCATGAGAAAAGACTGACAGGGGTACTTAAAAAAATCATAC